AAGGAATGCAAAACCTGACCCAATATAAGAGCTCAGAATTCTCTTAACAATACATTGTTAAGAGAATTAGATGTTGTTTATTGAACTCCTGAATATTCTTGGTCTTCTTTTGTGGTTAAATTCTGAATCACATCCTTTTTGACATCATAGACCAATTTTGTTTTATTTACAGCCATTGTCTAATGACTATGAAATGGTCTATTAAAAGTCATGCTCTTATTCGGACATCCACACCTGATCCAGGGACCAGTGGCAGAGCTGAGTCATCCGGAGTCAGGTCTGTGTTCTTGTTTTTGATGTCTTGTTAACATGAGCACATTGTATGGACTGATAATAAACCAAATTTAGTCTATATGTACGATATATTTGTTGTAAATTTCAGGCAGATTTCACCGGGGCTTGCCAAACCAAAGGGGGCACTGTAGGGTACCAAAAATAGGGTACACAACATTAGTTCCCTTTCAACACATTAGTCCACAAAAACATATGTACAGCTTCGCTCACAGCTAACCAACAGAGCATTAAGATCTGTGTCCAGGGGAGACTGCAATGTTCCTAAGAGAAAGTCTGCCTTCTCTCAATCAGCCTTTTCCTACAAAGCCACTAAAGAATGGAATGGGCTCCCAGACAATCTAAAGAACAATGCAGATTTCCACAGTTTTTCACGGGCAGTTAAAGACTGGCTTTTAGATCAACAGTCCTGCTCGCACTAAAAGTACCAGATGGGTACTTGGCCATCAGGTGTTACCCTCGCGGGTATCGTCTGATGGCCACCACACTATTAGTGTTAAAAACTATTGTATCTATGTGCTAATTATGTATAGCTACAAAATAGTTGTGAAAACTGTTGCACTTTGTCATTCTGCACTTTATGAATGCAACTGGCACTTTTCATCTGCACTTTTACTATATATTGCACAAATGTTTATTGTCTATGTTTTGTATTTTAATTAACTCTGTTATGTATTATGTATTTTAATTGTATTTTGGATCGTATAAGGACTACAGATGGAAATTAGCATTGTGCTAAATCTGGGGCAGCCATCTTTTTAATGTACCTGTCCGTTGTCCTTTTAAATAAATAACTAACTAACTAACAATGGTTTGATCAGTACTCAAATATGTCTCAAATATGTCTCAAATATGGCGCTTGTCCGGCCTCCAAATGTCCATCTCGTCACAAATGGGACACCCGAGTTGTTATGTTTTGGAGAAAATAAGACACATTATTTAACACAATGTGGAAGGGTTAGAGGCATGGATCTATAATGATATCTGGATAGGGTATTACTAGCTTTTAGCTGTCCCACAAACGAGTGCAGGAGGCGTCTGTGGTACTGCAGACTAAATTCACATGAGCTACCCAGAAAAATGTCCCAATTCAATGTATACCAAAAAAAGCTTAACCTCAGCTGACAGAGAACCTACAGCTTGGGATTTTGTGGGGATTTTAGTGTCCCTTGTCATCCTTTTTTACTTCTTAAATCCTTAGATTTTCAATAAATCCACTTTTTAATGCAAACTCTGCTAGTTTGTCTCCTGCTCTAACTCCGTGCTCGCTCTGCTCTGATCCCCAGCCGCAGATTGGTCAAAGCGCGGCCGAGCCCCTCTGTGCACGTGAGAGCCATACACGTGTATTTGGTGCAAAGCTTAATGGGAGCTCGATCACTGCGCAGAACCGGGAGGACCAGAGGATTCCCAAATATAGCCGAGTTCCGCTGATCGTTTGGCCCCATGTACAGTGTGTCCCATGCACTACTGAGCACAAGTCATTGATTTCAATGAAGCCATCTTGGATTACCGGGACTTGGTTAGAGGCAAGAACTGCATATTAGGATAAAATAGAATTGTTTAATATATTGTTTTCACATTGATACAGTCATGTATTTGCCTGTTTCAAGCCAGGCCCTTAGAGTCCAGAGGAGGGCTCTGTTTGCCCAGTGTCCAGGAGAGGACACATTTGTCCTCTCCCATCTCCTCTGAGCAGGTACACCTGCATTGGGCCACGCCCCTCATCATCAGAGGCTTTCTTGGAGCTGAAGGCTTTAGCAGCTTTTAGCGAAGCAATAACAGCATGAGAACCCGAGGTTTATATTGGAGTGCGGCCTATATGTGGTTTGTATAAAGGGTTGTATACAGGTACAGTGAGTCCGGTGATCCGGGTTGCCAAAACTTAAAACATGTGCCACCATGGGCATCGAAAGATTAGCGGAACACGCCCATATTTGGTAATTTCTCTGGTCCACCCGGTTCTGCGCAGTGTACGAAATCCCATGATGTTTTGTGCCAAATGCACGTGTTTGGCTGTCATGCACGTGCACAGAGGGGCACGGCGCGTCCTGACCAATCAGGTGCTGTTAATCAGAGCGGGGCTAGAGCGGCGCTAGAGCGGCGCTCGAGCGGTGTTAGAGTTGGAGCCAATTGAGCAGAATTTGTTGCATTAAAGGGTGGCTTTATAGAAAACAGAAGGATTTAAGAAGTAAGAAAGTTCAGGATGACAAGGGACACTAAAATCCCCACAAAATCCGACCTTTATGAAAGCTGTAGGTTCTCTGTCAGCTGAGGTTGAGCTGTTTTAATTAACATTGAGTTCTATGGGGAAAAATTCTGGGTAGCCCACATGAATATAGTGTCGTTTAGTCTTCAGTACCGCGAGAATCCCCCGAGCACATGGGTCCTTCAGCTCCAAGCTAGTAATACCCTATCCAGATAATATAACAGACCCATGGTAAAGTAACATGTCAGGCTGGAGTATCAAAAAAGGTCTTGTTATGAATCTCAAATCATTAAAGACAAAACAAGGAATAAAACGAGGATTTCTATTGGAGTGTTTGAGGAAAAGGTGTTGGTTATAGATTTGTTGTTGAGAAAACTGTCTATTCAGCTATTATGGTCCCAGCACATCTGCATATCTGGCAACCTGAGTCAGGGAGAGAACAACAGAATATTGACCGTGATTGCAGTACCGCTTTTGACCAGATTTTTACATATTGCTTCTTTAACAGATTGTTTTCCCTAAATTAAAAGCTTGTTTGTTTCAATATAGATAATAAGACAAAATATATTTAAACTTGGTGCTATGAGATTGGGTGGCGGCTCTCATTGCCACCTCCCCGACCCAGAAATGGACTAATAAAGGGGCAGATAATGAATTAATGAATATTTAAACTTGCTTTAGATCCTCTTTGGACCTGCTTTAATCCCGTTTTAGTCTTTCTTTAGGGATTTGTTTTACTCCTGCTCTAATCCCGTTTTAGTCCGGCTTCAGACCTAGACTCAAGTGGAAAGATAACCTGACAAATTAGCTTGTGGGTGAAAGTGATTGATCTGTTATTGGCTCTGAATTTTGTCCCTGACCAAAACGAGACCCTTTTTATTATTTATCAATTTGAGTACAAGCTCCACCTCATTCAGACATAACCACACCCACTTTCTCTGTAAAGGAATAGAAGAAAATGTTGGGGTTTTTTTGTTTATCATAAATGTGTTTTTTCCTTTTACATGTGCTGTAATGACACAGTGTCTCCAGCAGAGCGCGCTATCGGTCCATTCTCAGACACGGACTTGGTTTAGACTTGCTTTAGACCTGCTTTGGATCTCTTATGACACTTTTGAAGTAATTTTGGATAAACCTAAGCTTGTCACTCTAAAAATGCACATGGCGGTAATTCTCTATTTTTATTTGTGTTATCGTTTTTAGTTTAATTTTTAAATCAGATAACTAGTATGTTATTGGGGGGGGGGGTTAACATTTTTATTTTTAACTGGTTCTTTATTGTTTTAATTATTATATTTGTATTGTTTTTACTCTGTCCATAATGTTTGGCTTCTATTTTATTGATTTATTAAAAGATAAGGCTTTATCTCTGTGCAGCACTTTGGAAACTTGTTTTATAAGATGTGCTATATACATAAAGTGGATTGGAATTTTCCACTTGAATGTTTTGGTTATCTGAAGGCCGAAGCTACTGGTGCCGTGGAAGGCTGCTTTTGACTTGCTTTTGACCCGCTTCAGTCCGACCTGTTTATGCGCTTTAGATTCACTGTAGACCCGCTTTAGATCTACTTCAGTCCTCCTTCAGACCTGCTAATGTCCTGCTCTAGACCTGGTTTAGACCTGCTCTAAATGTGCCTCAGACGCGCTTTGGAACCACTTTGGAGGTGCTCGAGCTGTTTTTAGTCCTGCTCTTTCGTTCAGCTTAAAGGGCTTAAAGATAACTTTATTGATCCCGAAGAAAATTACAGTGGTGCCGGCTGCTCTCATTCACAGTCATAGGTACATAATAAACAAGTTGCTAAAATATAACAAAAAGAGGACAAAATCATTTAAATCATCTTATTTATACAACATTATTATTTTTTTAATAATGTGTTTTCCTTTTTACACGTTATACATGTGCTGTAATGACACAGTGTTTCCAGAAGAATGCGCTGTCACACAAGCCTCAGACCCAGACATGGTTTCGACCTGCTTTAGTCCTGCTTTCGCCCTACTTTAGACCTTCTTTGGTCCTGCTTTGGTCCTGCATTAGTCCTGTTTTAGTCCTGCTTCAGACCAAGTTCAGCCTCTTCAAATTATTGACTTCATGTTCAAACTTTCTCCCAGAATGACTTCCCGTTAGTTGGTTACAGTCCCAGGTCTAAAGCAGGTCTGAACCAGGAATTAAGCAGGACTAAAGCGGAACTAAAGAAGGTCTAAAGCGGTACTAAAGCAGGTCTAAAGTCTACAGCAGGTCTAAAGCAGCACTTGCTCAGGACTTTATCAGGAGTCTCTCTCTCTCTCTCTTCGTGACGCACAGTGACGTCCTAGGCTGGAGTTGGGCTCCTCGCGCTCACTCTGGAGCTCACACTGCGAGCTCACAGACGCGCACAGGACTCTGCAGGATGTGCTCTCCACGTGAGGGAGGGGTCAGCCGCGCGGAGCGGCCGCTCTGAGGGAGCGCGCGGACATGTCCCGAGGCGCACAAGACCAGTCAGGATGAGGCGCGCAGAGGCACGTGATGAAGTGGAGCACGAGAGGCGCATGCGCGGTGCTGTCCGGCGCGCTGCTGTTCACGTGTGCGCTTGCGGAGGTCGCTGTGGGACTTCGCTGCATGACGCAGGGCGCAGCGGTGATGACGCACTTCCGACTGAGTCGCACAGCGGGAGCATTCTACTCCGGAGCGCTGGTGAGCGGCGGACAGTTGCTGTTGGCGCTCGCGCTGCTTTGCTGCTCTACGCGTGCGCACCGCTGCCGCAACCTGGCGCTCGTGGCTGTGGTGGTTCTGCTGCTGGGGATCCTCACCGCGTTCTCCGGAGCCGTGCTGGACGGAGACGCAGCGGCGCTGGTGAAGAGGAAGTACACGCACTTCTGCCTGAGCACCCAGGAGAGCAGAGTCTGCACACACCTGCGTGAGTACCAGCGCAGCCTGGTGCTGTCCACGGCGCTCAGTGCACTGGAGTGTGTGCTGGGACTGCTGCACCTGCTCGCCATCAAGCGCTACAAGGCGGCGCAGTTCAACCGCCGGCAGTTAGAGCGGCAGCAGACACATGAGGCGCTGTTCAGCGAGGAGCGCGATGCTCCGCTGCCACATGTGTCCTACATCAACCTCGCAGTGAGCGTGTTGGACGAGCCGCACGGAGCAGAGAGCCACTACAGCGCGTACCCCTCACTGGAGCTGCCAGGGTATGCTCCTGTCAACACTGCACCTCCTTCACATAGAGACCAGCCGCCCGCATACGACGACATCTATCCCTCGCACCGCTGTGGGCCGCACCAGCAGGAGGCGCTGTGTGTAGTGCGAGCAGCGAGTGCAGCCAGAGGAGCTCGTGACGCTCGACACAGAGACACTCTGTAGAGAGCAAAGATGGCGGCTCATAAAAGTAATGTCTGTTCTCATGGTACTTGCACAACGAACGTCCTAAACCTCGGGTCACAAATGTGTGAGCGTTCTGACCAATCAGAGCTGATTGTAGAGGGCAGCACTGTGCCGCGCCGGTGTATGTACAACTAACCTGCACATGTGTGGATTAGAGCGAACAAGAAGAGTTTTTGTTGTACAAACGTGTGGATTAATAGAAAACTGCTGGATTTTTTTAAAGACTCAAACCACACAGAACCTGAGCGCTGATCGGTTTGAGCCGCACTGTGGTTTGTAACATTTCCTGTGTCGCTCTGGGGAAGGCATGGCTGACCTCCAGGCTGCAGACCGGCGGCTGGTCCAGATAATATGATTCCAGGATTGAGACGGTGCACCCTCTGCTGGCTGAGGCCGGGATTACAGCCCGGACCAGGGCTGCACTGAGGCCAGACGGGGCTGGACTGAGGCTGGACTCTTTGCTTTAGTCCAGGATTATTACCGGACTGTTATAAAAGGCTTTGACTCTTTTTGACTCTTGAATAAAAGGCTTTGTTGTTTTGCTCAGATCTGTTGTTTCAGTCAAAGACCCTTCCCACTGTCAGAAGTTCTTCCCACATTAAAGATTCCCTACTTAATACTTCTTAGCAGGCCGAAGTGTGGGGTCCACGTCTGTGGATTTGTCCACACCAAATGTTCTGATATCTCTTTGCTTAGAGCTGGAATCCCCTCAGGTTGAGAGTCTGGTTTGGGTCCTGTGTCTTTGATCTTCTCCTAGAAAATGGATCATGAAGTGAGAACACACATCTAGACCTGGACAGACCTGAGTCTGGGTCTAGATGTGGACTTGAACCAGCTGAGAGAATCTGCAGTTAATTTAAGTTGTTGAGTCTTAAAGAGTCATTTTTTGTGTAAGAAAGAGCGTTGAGTCATTACTTGACTCTTTGGGCTAAAAGATGATTGAGGGTGGTCCTCTCTTCTTCACTTTTCTGTCTGAAAAAGCTGATCTAAAGATGTGACAGAGACCAAAAGTACATACCCCACTTTGAGGATAGCTGCACATTTTAAACAGTCTACAGTCTGTTCCCTCTCAAACCTAAAAGCTTTTTTGGCCTCAGTCACAGCTTTAGATCAGCTCTCTGCCGAGAGAGTCAAATAGTGACTCAAAGGTTGAAATAAAATCCAAATAATTTCTATGTGCCTTTACTCACATGCTCCAAGAAGATTTGAAAGAGACAGGTTTCTCTGTCTCAGGTCTCTCTCTCTGGTCCCTCTCTCGTTTGTGGTCTTGTTCCCTGGTCGGTCTCTCTCTCTGGGGTCACGCTCTCTCTGGTTTCCATTTTCACCAGTCCTACTCAAAAAGAGTAGAGCTGACCAGACCAGTTCAAAACCCAGACCAGTCCTTGTCCAGTCCCAGACCAAACCTATACCGATAGAACGTTCTTCAGATTGAGGTATCGGCCCCTCACACACTGACAGTCTGTGGTGGTGTCAGACTGTACATGAGGACAGTCTGTAGTGTCAGACTGTACATGAGGACAGTCTGTGGTGGTGTCAGACTGTACATGAGGACAGTCTGTGGTGTCAGACTGTACATGAGGACAGTCTGTGGTGGTGTCAGACTGTACATGAGGACAGTCTGTGGTGTCAGACTGTACATGAGGACAGTCTGTGGTGTCAGACTGTACATGAGGACAGTCTGTAGTGTCAGACTGTACATGAGGACAGTCTGTAGTGTCAGACTGTACATGAGGACAGTCTGTAGTGTCAGACTGTACATGAGGACAGTCTGTAGTATCAGACTGTACATGAGGACAGTCTGTAGTGTCAGACTGTACATGAGGACAGTCTGTAGTGTCAGACTGTACATGAGGACAGTCTGTAGTATCAGACTGTACATGAGGACAGCGACAGCAGGTGAATTTCAGCTGCAGTTTGTGTTTGGATCAAGTCCAAAGTTTCACTAAAATAATCTTTATATAAAAGAGAACAGCGAGTCCAGAGGGAGTGCAGATTTATGAGGCTGTCCTGGTCCAGTCCTGATCCAGTCCCGGCCCTGGTCTAGTCCGAGTCCTGGTCCAGACCTGGTTCGGTCCTGGTCCAGACTCAGTCTAGACCTGGTCAAGACCTAGTTTAGACCCAGTACAGGCCAGGTTCGGTCTCGGTTCAGAACCAGTCTAGACCTGGTCCAGTTACAATTCTGGTACAGTCCTGGCCCTGATCTGGTTGTGGTTCAATCCCGGTCCTGGACCAGATCTGGTTCAAACGGGTCCAGACCCGGTAGAACTCGTCTACTGAAAACGGCCAAGGACAAAACACTTATGAAAATCAATATTCTCTAAAAGCTTCTTTTGGCGTGGAGTCAGTTTGTGTGTGTGTTCTCTGTGTACGTGTGTTCCCTCAGTGTGTGCCTGCTAGATAAACAATCTTTCTTTGGGAAATCCTCTTCCTCTGATCGCACACACTCACACACACGGTTCAGTCACAGAAAGAGACCAGAGAGAGAGAGTCCAGAAACAGAACAGAGAGAGGGACTAATCACTACTCACTGCGGAGCACACAAGAAACAAAAGTTTTCTTCTAACTTAAAATAAAGGTAACTGTCACGTTCTACAAGTGGATACATGACGACGCAGGAGAAGCACGCTGTAACAATTGCACAATTGCAAACAAAAATCTTCAAAACAATGAGGGACCACTGTAGTGTTTTTAAATGTCCAGAGAAGGCCCCCGTTTAGATCAGACACACGGGTGGCGCTCGGGGTAAAGTCGCTGCTCAGACTGTTAAAGAATATAAATCCAGGTTTTAGGTCGAACTCTGGTTTAATATTAAAGACAAACAGAAAACAGAATGAAAAAACCCCAAACCCAAAGTACAAACATTTTGGACCAAAGTCTCAGTCGGAAGAAAGACAAAGAAAATCTACACATCCAGATTTTCCTCGTCTTTCTTCTTTCAGGAGGGACCGGAGGGATCTGGGACAGCAGCATTTTGCTCCACAGGTTTACCTCGCAGGTAAAGCTGGTCTGAGAAATGCGGACTGACGCGGAGCTTCAGTCTGGCACTGGTCCAGCCACGGTCCAGGCCCTAGTCCTGTTCCTGGGTCCTCTGTCCTGGCCTCAGTCCTGGCCTCAGTCTTCGTCCAGCCCTGGTCTGGTCTCTGTAGCACTGTAGACCAGGACCAGCCCTGCAGTGATTAGGAGGTGGATGGCTTCGTAGAGGAGCTTTGGGGAGAACACACTCCAGATGAAAAGGTGATATCTGAGAACTGTGATGAGGACCATGAAGACCACACAAGGGATTGAGCGTAGAAGGCCCAGGCAGAAGGAGGCGTGAGAGACGGCTGAAGGACACCTGAGGAGAAGAGAGAGGGGTGAGAAACGTGAGAGAGTAGAGAGAGGGAGAGACATGAGGAGAAGAAAAGAAGAGAGAGGGGCGAAAGAGAAACAAACATTTTGCTGTGCCCTCCAAATGACTTCTGCAAGCTGTTCTCTCTCCCCCTTTGTGTTCTCTTTTCTTCTCCTGTGGGGTCAGACTCAGAGGAGACCAACACTAACAGCTCCTCAGCCTCAGCGTGAGGAGGGGGGCATTATGCTGTGGGGCTGCTTTTCTTCAGAGGGACAGGGAAGAGTATCAAGCTGATAATGGATGGAGCCAAATCCAGGACAGTGCAAAAGAAAAGCTCTATGAGTTTAATGTATGAAAACTTACACACAACCCACTGTTGACGGTTTGTATGTATTTTTGGCCTCTGTCACATATTTATATCAGCTTTTTACATACAGAACTCTTACTTACACAAAAGATGAAGACAGCATGTTGTAGTCTCATTTATTAGCATTGTACGTTGTCTGTTCAAACTACACGTGTTATTTATAAGACTAAATTGACCTAGCTTTTAAGTTACATACCCCAGCTTTACCCAGTGCAGCTCACCTGCTGTAGCTGAGGTAACAGAGCAGGTGCGCCCCCCACAGGACGGGTCCGGCATAAGTGCTAAGTGCTGTCAGGAGCACCGCAGGAGCTTCCATGTAGCGGTCCAGACCCACAAAGCCCACAGAGATGTCCACAGTGCCGATGTTGTTAGAGTTCCCCTAAAACACAGACAAAGGACCTCACAGCCAAGACCAGAGAGAGACCAGAGAGAGACAAGAGTGACCAGAGAGGGAACCAGAGGAGAGACTGGAAATGTTGTGTGCACAATTCTTCTTATGTGCTGCATATATACAACATCATGTTACTAAGCTACAGCAACTTGCGAAAGTATTCGGCCCCCTTGAAACTTTCAACATTTTGCCACATTTTAGGCTTCAAACATAAAGATATCAAAATAAAAAAAATTGTCAAGAATCAACAACAAGTGGGACACAATCGTGAAGTGGAACGAAATTTATTGGAAAATTTAAACTTTAACAAAAAAAACTGAAAAGTGGGGCGTGCAATATTATTGGGCCCCCTTGTGCTAATACTTTGTAGCGCCACCTTTTGCTGCAATTACAGCTGCAAGTCGCTTGGGGTATGTGTCTATCAGTTTTGCACACCGAGAGACTGGAATTCTTTCCCATTCTTCCTTGCAAAACAGCTCGAGCTCAGTGAGGTTGGATGGAGAGCGTTTGTGAACAGCAGTCTTCAGCTCTTTCCACAGATTCTCGATTGGATTCAGGTCTGGACTTTGACTTGGCCATTCTAACACCTGGATACGTCTATTTGTGAACCATTCCATTGTAGATTTGGCTTTATGTTTTGGATCATTGTCATGTTGGAAGATAAATCTCCGTCCCAGTCTCAGGTCTTTTGCAGACTCCAACAGGTTTTCTTCCAGAATGGTCCTGTATTTGGCTCCATCCATCTTCCCATCAATTTTAGCCATCTTCCCTGTCCCTGCTGAAGAAAAGCAGGCCCAAACCATGATGCTGCCACCACCATGTTTGACAGTGGGGATGGTGTGTTCAGGGTGATGAGCTGTGTTGCTTTTACGCCAAACATATCGTTTTGCATTGTGGCCAAAAATTTCGATTTTGGTTTCATCTGACCAGAGCACCTTCTTCCACATGTTTGGTGTGTCTCCCAGGTGGCTTGTGGCAAACTTTAAACAAGACTTTTTATGGATATCTTTGAGAAATGGCTTTCTTCTTGCCACTCTTCCATAAAGGCCAGATTTGTGCAGTGCACGACTGATTGTTGTCCTATGGACAGACTCTCCCACCTCAGCTGTAGTTATCTGCAGTTCATCCAGAGTGATCATGGGCCTCTTGGCTGCATCTCTGATCAGTCTTCTCCTTGTTTGAGATGAAAGTTTGGAGGGACGGCCGGGTCCTAGTAGATTTGCAGTGGTCTGATACTCCTTCCATTTCAATATAATTGCTTGCACAGTGCTCATGTTTAAAGCTTGAGAAATCTTTTTGTATCCAAACCCGGCTTTAAACTTCTCCACAACAGTATCTCGGACCTGCCTGGTGTGTTCCTTTGTCTTCATGGTTCTCTCTGAGCTTTAAACAGAACCCTGAGACTATCAAAGAGCAGGTGCATTTATACGGAGACTTGATTACACACAGGTGCATTCTATTTATTATCATCAGTCATTTAGGACAACATTGGATCATTCAAAGATCCTCAATGAACTTCTGGAGTGAGTTTGCTGCACTGAAAGTAAAGGGGCTGAATAATATTGCACGCCCCACTTTTCAGTTTTTCATTTGTTAAAAAAGTTTAAATTATCCAATAAATTTTGTTCCACTTCACGATTGTGTCCCACTTGTTGTTGATTCATGACAAAAAATAAAATTTTTATATCTTTATGTTTGAAGCCTGAAATGTGGCGAAATATTGAAAGGTTCAAGGGGGCTGTACCTCTGTGGTCCACTGGTCCCACTCTCTATGGTCTCGCGCTCTATGGTCTCGCGCTCTATGGTCTCGCGCTCTATGGTCCCGCGCTCTATGGTCTCGCGCTCTATGGTCTCGCGCTCTATGGTCTCGCGCTCTATGGTCTCGCGCTCTACGGTCTCGCGCTCTACGGTCTCGCGCTCTACGGTCTCGCGCTCTACGGTCTCGCGCTCCACGGTCTCGCTCTCCACGGTCTCGCTCTCCATGGTCTCGCTCTCCATGGTCTCGCTCTCCATGGTCTCGCTCTCCATGGTCTCGCTCTCCATGGTCTCACTCTCCATGGTCTCACTCTCCATGGTCTCACTCTCCATGGTCTCACTCTCCATGGTCTCACTCTCCATGGTCTCACTCTCCATGGTCTCACTCTCCATGGTCTCACTCTCTGGTCTGCCCCTAGCCCTCAGTCCTGCTCCTGCCCCTCAGCCTGTGTCCTATGCAGCCGTATTTCACAGTGTATACACAAGCTTTTGACAGCTGCAACAGCGCTCAGATCTACAACCAAGAAAGTTAGAAAGTGTTAGAAGTGTGTGTGGGGTTTTACAGCCATGAAACATAGAGCTGTACTTCAAGGAATACATTTGGTGTTTGTAATTTTTAGAGCACATCACCCCCGCCATAAATCAGGGCCACTGTACAAACAATAACCTCCACTTCTTGTGTGCGTGAGCTGTACAGTGAGTTACCTGGTAGTAGAAGGCGGCCTGCCCGAACCACGCGTGCATGATGGTGACCTGTGCTGCGTCGTACTTCAGCGCACTCCAAACACACTGGGACATGAGCGTTTGTGTGAGCAGAGACCAGCACAGCACAGGCAGGTTGTGCGCCCGCAGCAACAGCGCCACTGTGAGGACCAGACCAGCATACACCTCCCACAGCCCCCGCGACCGCAGCGCACGGAGGCTCCCCTGCGCGCGCAGAGAGCCAAACTGGGACCTCAGTAGGTCTCTGGTCCCCGAGAAAAGGAGACCCAGCACAAAGACGTACACAAACCGAGCCTCCACGGTGCCCCTGTGGAGAGAGTAGAGCATAAACAGAATTACAGAGACCAAAGAGGGACCAGAAAGACCAGAGAGAGACCAGAGAGTGACAAACCAGAGATCAGAGATAGACCAAAGACACACCAGAGAGACAAGAGAAAGACCAGAGTGGGACCAAAGACACACCAGAAAAGCACCACAAACAAAGATCAGAGAGTGACCAGAGAGAGACCAGAGAGAGACAAAAGAGTGACCCTAGAGAAGAGAGACCAGAGAGAGACAAACCAGAGATCAGAGATAGACCAAAGACACACCAGAGAGACAAGAGAAAGACCAGAGTGGGACCAAAGACACACCAGAAAAGCACCACAAAGAAAGATCAGAGAGTGACCAGAGAGAGACCAGAGAGAGACAAAAGAGTGACCCTAGAGAAGAGAGACCAGAGAGAGACCAGAGAGAGACAAAAGAGTGACCCTAGAGAAGAGAGACCAGAGAGAGACCAGAGAGAGACAAAAGAGTTACCCTAGAGAAGAGAGAGACAAACCAGAGATCAGAGATAGACCAAAGACACACCAGAGAAACACCACAAAGAAAGATCAGAGAGTGAACAGAGAGAGACCAGCGGGAAACCAGAGAGAGAGAGAGAGAGAAGAAAAAGACCAGAGAGTGACTAGAACGTGACTAGAAAGTGACCAGAGAGAGACCAGACAGAGACAAGAGAGAGACCAAAGACCAGAGAGATGGATAGTGACAGCTTTTTGTGTCTCCACAGCTGACGGTAAAATCCTGCCCGAAGGGGAGGGGCCCAGGACATCAGAAGTGCTCCTCTCTGCGGCTGGAGCCAGGATCTATTTTAGTAAAGTTATTCCTCTCTAATCGCTGTTGTTAATGGTCTTATAGAAATTAGAGCAGCTCCAGTTTGGCTGAAGCTGCTTTAATGCTGTTATAGTGTGTTTCCTGCTCCACATCACATATATTTGTAAATAAAGTCTCGCTCCGGTGCTGGACTTAATCTAGTTGTGATCGAGCTTCTGTCTCATATTTCACTACCCAAAAGCATCAATCCTACAGACTGAGGCTAGAGGAGACCATAGAGATGAGAGAGAGACCATAGTGAGAAACCAGAGAAAGACCAGAGAGAGAGAGGGGCCAGAAAAACACCATAGAAAGATCAGAGAGTGACCAGAGAGTGACCAGAGAGAGATCGGAGCCCATCAGACCCCATTGAGAGATTAGAGAAAGAGAGACAAGAGAGACAGCAGAGACCAGAGAATGTCTCAAAGAGAGACCAAAGAAGGAGAGAAACCAACCAAAGAGAAAGATTGTGTATTTGTTGCCTTGTGTTGAAGCAGGGCGTCTATAAGTCTCTCGCACAATGAAAATGCTATGACTTTTATGAAATGTAAAACTCCTCAGATGCACAGATACTGGAGTCAGCAGACGAGAACAAAGCACACTGACCTATGTGAAAGTGAACCCTCTGCACAAACGCTTTGATTAGCCAGCAAAAAAAGTGTACGTGTGTGTGTGTGTGTGCGTGCATAAGAGCATGTGCGTAAAAGCTCTCTGCTGCTGATCCTTAGTTCTGAAAATCTATTCCTGTGCATTACCACAAAACAAGTCTTAATAAATCCTTAAAGATCGGGTCCATGCAATGAAAGGTCTCTCTCTCACTGGTCTCTCTCTCTCTCTCTCACTGGTCTCTCTCTCTCACTGGTCTCGGGTCACTGGTCTCGGGTCACTGGTCTCGGGTCACTGGTCTCGGGTCACTGGACTCGGGTCACTGGACTCGGGTCACTGGTCTCGGGTCACTGGTCTCGGGTCTCTCTAGTTGTGTGGTTGTGTTACTCACTTGCTGGCGTGGCGGTGTGCTCGGTGCCAGGGTAAGCTCACGTTGCCGATGGCCGCTCTGTAGCAGTAAACTCCCATCAGCCCCAGGGCGAGTGCGACTTTGGACACGACTGAACACTTCCTCTGGACCAGGAAGAAGATCAGAGCGAGGCACAGAGCCGACAGGAGTGACAACACCCCCTGGTGTTCAGAGCTGAGAACACAACATCATGAGTGAGTTAGCTCTAATCCTCTTATACACTTCATATAAGAGGAACAAAGAAGCTTCTGCTTCATCCAGCCCCTTTTCAAACGAGTATTAGTGAAAAAGGTTTGAAATAGTGTTGAATGTCTTTTATTTTTCTCAACCTCAAACTGCATGTAGAGCATTTAGACAGAAGTGGCAGGGGGAACGTGTGTGACAGTAGTTCCTGATTATAGCCTGGATGAACCCTGGGATCTGATTGTGAGACAGACCCTTCAGCTGTCCCTGTGGTCTGATTGCGTATTCAGACCCTTCAGCTGTCCCTGTGGTCCGAGTGTGAGACAGACCCTTCAGCTGTTCCTGGGGTCTGAGCAGTACAGTGTGAGACAGACCTTTCAGCTGCTCCTACTCTGTCTGAAAGCAGAGGAGAGCTGTGGGTCCTCTGAGGCCCCACTATCGGCACAAAACGGCCGCTGGCGTTTCACTCTTAAATAGTTGCTTCTCCTGTGGATTCTTTGGTGCAGATAAGGAAAAGTTTAGCTCCAGAACTTTGGATGAAACAAGTTCAAACGCAAAAAGACCTGGATGAGAAGTGGATCTGTTTGTTACAAAAGCAGTTGGGCTTAAAAACATATCTGCAGCATTATCTGTGCTCATGTATTTCTCAAACGTTAACGTGATCGTGAGACACATGTGTGAATGAAAAATTGGGGAAAAAATGTCATGTTCCCAAGGCCAACTGTTTTAAGCTTTAGAACCACAGCAATAGAACTCCCATGCTTTTAACACTAATTTTTACATAATGTATTCATGGCCTCTGTCATATTTTTAGATTACCTTTCCAGACAGAAAAGTGAAAAAAAGAGAGGACCACCCTCACTCAGCTCTCAGCTCAAAGAGTACTCACAATAATGACTCTTTACAACACAAAAGATAACATGTTTTCTTTTTTTCTACTACAGGACTAATGTAGGTCAAAAGTAGGAAAAAAGTGGGGGAAAAAGGTCCCCCAAAAAATACTTATCGCAGATTCAGTCCTCACAGCCTGGTGCAGGTCTACAATTTTATTTCTGGTGTCCTTTGACAGCTCTTTGCTCTTTGCCATAGAGGAGTTTGGAGTGTCACTGTTTGAGGTTGTGGACAGGTGTTTTTCATACTGATAGGGGCCACAGTCTATGAGAGCCACAAATCTTGCTTGTTTGCAGGTGACCAGATACTTATTTTCCAACATGATTTGCAAAGAAATTCTTTAAAAATAAGACAATGTGATTCTCAGGATTTTTTATCTTATTCTGTTTTGCATAGCTGAGATATACCTATGATGAAAATTACAGGCATCCCTCCTCTTTTAAAGTAGGAGAACTTGCACAATTGGTGGCTGACTAAATACTTTTTTGCCCCACTGTATACTGCAGGACTAATAAAATAGGATTAAAGCTGGTCTAAAAATGGGTCAAAACCAGATTGAAGTAGACCTCACCTGTTGAGCCAGTGTCCCAGGTCGGGCAGGTGGGCCCACTGGATTCCGGTCTGGTTCAGAGCTCGGAGCAGACGACAACAGATCAGGGTGAAGGGAGGAGTGGCTAAAGCTAACCCCCGCTCTGCGCTAACGCCAAAGTCCCGAGGGTCTCCAGGGTTGGGGAGGTCGGCATTGCAAGACTGTAGGGAAGAGACATTCCTGACACTTTTACAAGGGAATCTGCTGCAGAAGACACTTCTCAACCAATACTAGCTCTATGAGTGGTTCACCAAGGCTCTGTACTGGGACCAGCTCCTCAGCGTGGAGTCCTCTGCAGCTAAATTTCACAGTATATGCATGGCTTTATACAGCTGCAACAGCACTCAGACCCACATCCAACAGGTTTCATATCTCTGGGATTGCACTTCGGCAGTTGTGAGTTCAGTTGGTTAGAAAAGTGTATAAAGTGTGGTGAGGGGTTTCACAACCTTAAAACATAGAGCTGCCAGGGGCTAAAGTAACATATTCACAATAATATATGTAATTTGTAATATTACCGCAAGCCCCAGAGATTCAGGGCGCTCCCTGAAGTATCGCCGACACACGTCCTGAAACAGCGCCAGGCAGAGCGTGTTCAGCAGGAAGTACCATATTTGGTGTTCCTCTTCAACGAAGGAGGAGGAGCCTAAGAGTAGGGCGTGGCCTAGAGTCCCACAGAGCAACACCAAGTCAAGTTCAGAGAAAGACCAGGCTCCAGAAGACAAGGGCTGCAGACAGAGAAGAATTTTAAAGAAAATAATCAGTACTAATGTATCCTTAAAGCTGGGGTATGTCCCCTCTAAAGATGGGGTACGTAACTTTCAGACCACACCAATAGAACTCTGTAATATGTCTCTATATGGCTCTAAAACGGTTTACATCCTCTATTTTTGGCCTCTGACACATCTTATCTTTTTCAGACAGAAAATGAAAGGACCAGCCCCTTTAGGCCAATCAGCTCTGAGCTCAAAGATTCAAATAGTGACTCAAACATAAGATAAAGACAGCATGTTGTGGTTGAGACTTTCTGTTGGACAAACAAAATGTGTTGTTTTTGAGACTAAAGCTTCGTACCCCACCTTTAAAGTTTAAAGTTAATTTCCTCAGATTTTGTTTATGTTCTAGTTGCTTCCTTGTCTTTCACACAGTTGTAGATTTCATGCGTGTTTTTGGATCGCTCACTTGATCTGTGGTCTGAGCGGAGCCGTGATGGAGACTATTTATATTTGTTTTATGGTATTATGAGCTGAGGTTTAAAGCAGAGATTGTAAATTTGCTGAGTAACAGTGGGACAAACGGGGATCACTCTAATGGAAACACGAATCCAATTTGAGAAGCACTTTGGCAAATGAGTCCAGCTGAAGACCTGCCAGAAACCAGGACTTGGAACGAGGGTGGTCTGAACTGAGGCTGAACTAGGACTGAACCAGAACCGAACTCAGGCTGAGCCTGGACTGAACGAGGTCTTGAACCAGCACTGAAGCAGGTTTTGAACCAGAACTGAACCAGAACTCTAAAGCAGGACTAAGGCGGGTCTAAAGTAGGCCTAAAACAGGTCTAAAGCAGATCTAAAGCAGGGCTAAACCAGGACCCAGACAAGACAAAAGAAGGCAGTCATGAAAAGTTACCAAAAGAGAGGACCACCATCACTCAGCCAATCAGCTCTCAGCCTAAAGACTAAATATCTCCAAAGAGCCTATAGTTTCTACAAGCCCTGAAAACGTTTCAGCCGGTTTGATCTTGCAGCTGGTCTGGTCGATCAGTGGTGGAACTCGCTCTTTTGTGTGCGGGTCAGAAAAAGGATTTTCTCTTGTTCTGAATGTTAAATGGACACGGGCTTCGACCCCATCATTTATGCATGAAGCCATTAATGATGAAAACATACGTGCAGCTGACTGCGGCTGTGTTTACTGCAGCTGTACAACATGTAAGCATCAAAAATAACTATGTTCACCAGTCCCTCGCACAATTCACCTTTCAATTTGTGTGAGCAGCTTTTACAGTGTGCTTCTGTGAAAGCAACAGATAACCAATGGTACAACATGACAGACACCGTTATTTAAAGTGTCTTTGGTCGTTTTCTCTGGTTCTCACTTTGAGACCAGAGAGAGAGAAATCAGAGAGAGGCAGGTGTAAACTGTGTACACGCTCACCTTGGCGTGCCTCTCCGCAGGCCGCAGCCGCCTCAGGGTCATCACTGCGTTCACACAGCACAGCGCCCCCATGAGGCCGATAGCAGACAACGGCAGGCTCCAGTGTACGGAGCAGAGGAAGCCCATGTGCGAAGACGTACACACACACACGTGAACCGCTCCCAGTAGCAAAGACGACAAGAAGAAGCCCAAGGAGAGCACGCACTGCAGTGGCACATCCACCAGGGCGGCGCCGCTGAGGCTTTCAGGCAGAGACAAGAGCAGCAGCACCAGCAGCTGTGGAGAGAGGACAGCAGCTAATGTACAGGACAAACACTGTTCCTCATGTGAAGGAATGGCCCTAAAACACAATTCAATTCAATTTATTCAATTTATGACAGTAGTCATCTCGAAGGACTAAAACACAGCTCAGAGAATCTGCAGTTCAACACAAGAAATGCAACAACAAAAACACATAGAGCCATTGGTTCAAAAGGGGCAGATGATCAAATGTCCATAAATGATGACCCCACCCTTGTGGCACTCCCCACTTCCACCCGAAATATCATTCTACTCCTGCGATGCACAGGGCTGTTAGCAGTGGCATTATAGTCGTATGAATAACAATAGTTGTGACAATAGTAGAGCTGTGGTGCTCGGAGTCGTAATGTTCAGGTGCTTGGTGCATTGTCGCTGCGTCCCTCGCACTCAGAGCCAAACTCATGATTAATAATCCATCCTCAGCCTCAGAACTCCGGCTCCATAAATAATTCCTCTGCAGAATCACAAGTGTATTTTTATATGTGGACACTGCGTACACAGCAGAACAAGACACAGGTCACGCACAGCGCGGCGCATCAGTCACACCGAGCTCACTGTCACTTAACAAACACCAATATTTACATTTGTCTGTGAGGGATCTGCGGCTCTTTAAAGCTGCCCTGTGTAATTTCTGAGGGGCTCCACAGAGAGAACTCATTTGATATTTATGGGAAAGACCAACACAAGGTGAAAATTATACAGGCTTTAACACAGACTCATAGAATGTTGACTCCCACAGCCAAAGACTCTCATTAGGTCATTAATAAGCAATGCAATGAAAGCAAAGCTCAGCTCAGAATCGGGACCCCCTGGGTCCAGGACCAGTCCATGACCAGCATCTTTGAGAAACAGGTGCTTTAATTGCCATAAAGGGCTGGTCAAAATGACTGCTCTGGGAGTTATAGGTAGCTCTACTCACATTTCAAAAGCAAAACATTATTTTATAAATAACGACATAGAAACAAATTACATTTAGATGCAGAAAAAGTCACCAAGTTATGAAGAACCCAAATGTACATGAGCTGAGTAGTTGATTCCTAAACAGAATTAGAATCAGAAATCAGAAATTGTACGTAACAGGAAGTCACTCACTAGGAATTTTCTTTGGCTCAAGGTGCAATTAAATTGACTGCTCTGGGATTTCTACAGTTCAAAGTAGGGTTTGCAAAATATTCAACCCCCCTGAATTGATACATTGTGGAACCTCATTTTCCTTCAATGACTGCTTCAAGTCCTATATTTTAGCCCATTCATACAAAACTGTTCTGCCTTTGTCAGATTAGATAAGAGTGATAGTAACAGCAGTTTCACTGTCTCCTCTCCTTGTTCGAGCTGTGAGTTTGAGCAGATGGCCGAATCTTGGTAGATTATCAGTGGTGCCATACTCTTTCCATTTATGAATATGAATGAATGCAAGATGTTAAAAAGTTTTGGAAAGGTTTGTGTAACTTTGTCCCTTGTGCACACACATGCACACACATAAACACACACCTGTAGAACCAGCAGCAGCCCCACCACCACAGAGTACATGTCGTATCTCCCAAGTTGTCGGCTCAGAGCTTCACTCATGGACACCAGCGCCTGGAGATACTGCTTCAGGACCTTCTGCCCCATGTTGAGAAGCACTTCAGACGTGTTTCCCTCCTGCACGAGTTTCAGCCAGCTGCTGTGAGAGCGAACAGCCACACGGAACTGCTCCCAGCCAACATCTGGAGACAAGAGAGGAGAAAAAACATCAAAACAAGGATATTTGGAGAGGAGAGAAAAGAAAAAACAGACAGAGACAGAGAGAGAGAGAGGGGGAAGGGGAGAAAGATGACCATCAGACCAGGATCATGTGGAGAGAGATGAGAAAGAAGAGAGAACTATTGGACAGAAACTGAGGCAGAACCAGGACTGCACCAGGTCTGAACCAGGATTGAACCAGGATTAAACCAGGACTGAAGCAGGACTGAAGCAGGACTGAAGCAGGACTGAAGCAGGACTGAAGCAGGACTGAAGCAGGACTGAAGCAGGACTGAAGCAGGACTGAAGCAGGGCTGAAGCAGGAGTAAAGCAGGACCAAAGTAGGATTATTGCAGGACTACGGGAGGTCTAAATTAGAATTAGATTAGAATGCACTTTGTGCATCTTGTTAAAACTTTGTGACATTTGAAAATACGACAAAAATGTGACTTTCTGTTTCTGTTCAGAGCATAACGAGGAAGTGTGACCTTTAGTGTGAGCAGATTTAAGAAGATTCAGGAGAAAAGCTCATTATGAGAAGAGTAGGTCCCACTCTGGACCCAGTTACATTCACAACATCTGAATAACAGCTGGTCTCCCTCCCTCTGGTCTCCCCCCTTCTAGTCTCGCGCGCTCTCTGGTCACTCTCTCTGGTCTCACCTTTCTCATAGTCCTGGTTTGTGTCCTGAACCAGCCGGCTCAGCTGAAGCGCGTTCTGATGCAGGAGTCTCAGTTGGTCTCGTAGGGGCAGCTCTTCCAGGATCTGGGGCAAGACTCGACCCACAGAGCTGCGAGGGACCGGGAGACCCAGACCAAGGGCCAGGGATGGGGCGAGGTCAACCTGCTCGACCACCAGGGGGGGTTGCATGCCTTCTGCACACACACACACATACACACAGAGTAATTCTTCACCTTGACCTAGACTTGATTACAGCTGGGGTATGTAACTTGAAAGCTAGGGTATGTATCTTTCAGACCACATATAATAAACCCTTGTCTCTTGTTCCTTAAACAGTTTGCTTTTCAAAATAATAATAATAATATGTCTGACAAAGGGCCTCAGCCCGAAACTTAACGTTTTTGGTGTGTAAATGAAATACTGTCACTATTGGTCACCCTGCCTCATAATTAATGTAATAATATTTATATAAATATTCGTATTATTTATAGAAGAAATGAAAATTTTCCAGGAATATGTTCATACAAAGAAAGCTTTATTAAAAAACACACACACACACACACACACAGCTTTATGCTCACACATAGGTAATTAAAAAATTACAACTCTGAACTGTCCAATAGCCTCCTCGGGGTTGTAATTTGGCAGGGTTCTAGATAGACGCTTAATGTACGTGGCTCTGTACGTCCGCGCCGCCTCTAACCGGGACTGCAGCTTGACAGAGTTCAGAAAACTCCGGCTTTCGAAAAGACTGCGACCGCACAATCCATCCAGAGACACCGTCCACAACGCCTTCTTCTTCATTGGACATTAGGTCTACCGTGGCGGACTTCCAGAGTTCCACTTTGTCACTTTCTAGCACACTCGGTCTCGATTCCAGCGGCTGAAAGAATCAGTAAATATTATTAGCCAAATCAAATCCTTTTTCCCATCTAAACATTGCCAGGATCAAAAACATAGTGTCTAAAGCAGACCTGGAGATTCTTATCCATGCATTTGTCTCCAGTAGGTTAGACTACTGCAATGGCCTGCTCACAGGTCTGTCCAAACAGGCTGTAAAACAGCTGCAGTACATTCAAAATGCAGCAGCTCAAGTCCTGACCAGAACCAGGAAGTACGATGGTAAGGCAAGTTTATTTGTCTAGCACAATTCATACACAAGGCAACTCTAAGTGCTGAGCAAAATAAGAAAGCATTAAAATAAATAATCACAGTACATTAACAAAGATAAATATAAAATACCTCAGTTGTAGCACAGCTAAAGTGACAGCTCCTCTCTGACAATGTTTAAAACCAGGTTAAAGGGAGAAACAGTAAAACACTTCTACGTCATGGTGCTACGTCCCTTAGGACTTCGCTAGTGGGATATCACTCGTGACCCCCAGGTCACACGCCAGAGAGATCAAAATAATTTGCTCCAATCACCAGCCACCCTCCTCTATAAATGCCCCTGCACAAGGCCGCACCCCCTCTTTCACTCTGGCGCCGATTGAGATCTACCACAGTACGTACTACGGATGACCTACGGCTTGTGTTACGTGGGGGTATCCTTGGTAGGAGTGGCCCCGTAACACGCTTGTTTCTTCTGCCCTGAGTCCTCTCACGTTGTGAGGGTCTTGCTCGGGCGGAGCTCCAATCACCCTTCGCTGGCCTGCTGGGAGTACATTTTCCTACGGCCTCCGCGTTGTGTCCCACTAGCGAAGTCCTAAGGGACGTAGCACCATGACGTAGAATTAATAGTTACTTAATGTAACTTAAGTTCTACGAATAGGTGCGTAGTCCCTTAGCTACAAGCCCATCAGGCCAGCCCGGCTTGGCAGAGTTCAAGAGGGGGTGCGGCCTTGTGCAGGGGCATTTATAGAGGAAGGTGGCTGGTGATTGGAGCAAATTATTTTGATCTCTCTGGCGTGTGACCTGGGGGTCACGAGTGATATCCCACTAGCGAAGTCCTAAGGGACTACGCACCTATTCGTAGAACTTAAGTTACATTAAGTAACTATTAATTACACACAATGTCGTCTTTATCAACATCGTGGAAATGTGGACTTATTGTTCACATTGTATTGCAGATATTGTGTTAAGCAAATAGGAGGTCACCGTCTCATTACGAGGCGAGATTAGTCTGAAAACAAAGTGTACAGTTATGATTGTTATCTATACATATCCATTATCTACACAAAACGTGTAGGTAAACCAAATTCAATTTCCATGGATACATTAACAATACTTACATAACCTTTTTGAGAAAATGGATCCTTCAATGAAAAAAGTGTGATAATTCTAAGAGCATAGCTTTTTTTGTTTTCGGGAAGGCATTTGTCTAAGGAGAAAAAAACACTCATGGTCAAGGGACTTCATGGTTACATAAAAAGGCTAAATTAATAGTATCTACAAGTACATATTTTCACGGGGACCTAACCAAGAGATAATCTACAGGAGAACATCTACCTAGGTCATTTATAAAAGAGATCAGTACTATTTATCTTACAATGGGGAATCAATAACAGTGCTGAGAGAAACTGAATTGTTACGTGATTATTGTGAAAGGTCTTTCAAGTGATTTTCATTTTATTTTGAGTAAATATCCTTCCACTTGTAAGAAGGAACTTTTGAGTATTAACTGAGGGATACAACATACCCATGTGTTTCACTCATGTCACTGACAAGAAGGTCGACAAGTTGTCTTCGAGAGCGGTGACTTAGTGATCTCACAGAATTATAATCTTTAAGGATCTCTCGGTCACCAGGGTTTTCCTGCAGTTCCACCATCTACAAACACGTGGAAAATGTAAAATGACAATCTACAATTGTACCAAAAATCTTAGGATACAAAATGCAGCAGTACCTCTTTTGATGTGTACCTTTCTCCTTTCTCCATCTCCTCTGCTGTACATATGTGCATTTCAACACCAAACACAATCATATGTCATTTCTTTTTGTTATTGCTTTATGAACTTACACAGGAATCGAGGTGCCGGACAATCTTGGAAAGCTTAGCGCCAGCAGTCCCCCTTTTGACCTTAAAGAGCCTGATGAACTGTGTCGTTAGGCAATCCAATGCTTCAACAAAATCATTGCCCAGTTTGGAGCTGGTGATCTGGTTAAATTCTGCCAGGACCTGCAAAAAAAACCATAAAACACTTCCAGTTAAATGCATAGATGTAAAAAATGTGTACACACCTGTCTCTCTGTATAAAGTGCTGGCCAGCGCGCTTTGACATTTTCCACAGGTAGGGCAGAATTGACTATTTCTTGTTGTCGGACTGCAACTGTAAGCAAAAAAAAGAATAATCAATATATATAAAACAATATCACATGATTTTTGCTCAAATGTGTTTAAAGGAGGTCTAGATTCACTCAATAACATTATTAAGCAATGGACTTAATAAAAAAAAACAAAAAAAATGAACAGAAAGACAACAGTGACAAATGAGAAGAAAAAGTACAGTAATAAAAGTGAAAGTCTTAGCGCTCAAACAAAGACAGGAACAGTGCAAAACAAATGATATATGTTAGATATTCCACAGTCTCCTGTACATCAGGCTCTGCCATGAGCCCAAACTGCTTTTCCTTCGGTTCTTTCGAAGCAGTCTGCTCTGAGCGCCTCGTCCCTGCAGCAGCTACATGCTTCACAGAAAGTTATCACACACGGAGCAATCACAGCGGAGCTTCCTTGCGGCGGTGGCCCGCGTAGTTAGGGCCGGGAATATGGCTCTGAACATGGCTACAGTTAGCTACTAACAGCTACATTCACCGCTGTCCTCAATAAACTCCCGGAGGCCGGACAGAGCTCTCTCAGGCCTCCGGGAGAGCGGCTCTGAACACGGCCACAGTCACTGCATTCACCGCTGAGCTGGTCGAACACACGAGTTTTATAAGATAATATAGTCGAATGTATACTCGTTCTTAACACACTTCTTTAGCTTTATACCTTTATAACAATGAACAACGTGTCTTAACACTTACCGTACATTCGAAAGAGTGCTCTCTTCACGTTCCAGACCGCACCGTCGACTTGAGGCAAAGTATTTCCTTGAGTTTTGCGCATGCGCGAAATGCGCATTCAGTTTGTGAAGTTCCCATGTTTTGGTTGTGTAAAGAGAGTGATGATAACACCAACAACCGTTTGTGTATATATTAAGGCTGTCAAAATTATCGTTTTGACTCACGTTAATTACATTTTTTATTAACGCGTTATTTTTTTTAAATACCCGCCCATTTATCCTTAAGAATATCACTCAGAATGCTGCGTGTGAGATGGCCTCCTCCGTGGCCGCTCTGGTTGTTGTTAGCGGCTGTGAGTGAGTGCAAGCTTTGCACGGGCTGCAAGCATGGATCTAGCTATTATAATAACAGCAGCAAGCGATTGCTCCGTTCACATACTCAGCGCTCTGCGCACTGTATTTTCCCTGGTTCTTGTCTGTCAGGCGCGCTCTGCGCACTGTATTCTCCCTGGTTCTTGACTGTCAGGCGTGAGTGTTGCTCGTGTGTGTCTTTGGGAACTAATTATTTTAAAATAGTCTCTTTCAATTGCAAGTTTTGTAATTTGTTTGTTTGATCAATGGATAAAAATAAATGCAATTTAATTAAATGGCACCTTGGCCTGTCTTATACCTGTTTGCCTGCAGGACAGTTCCCTAAACTAACATATCATACTAAAATAGGGTGGGGTTGTTGCAACAATTAATCTACTTAGAAGTTATCCTAAATTACAGCCAGCTAAAGCTCGGTACCACGACAAACGAAAAAGTAACGCAATAGTTACTTTTACTGCTAACTAGTTACTTTTATAGTGGAGTAACTCAGTTAGTGAGTCAATTACTTTTTGGTAGAAGTAACTAGTAACTATAACTAATTACTTTTTCAAAGTAACTTACCCAACACTGGTAATTATATTTGATAATCTCATTTAACTTCAATTGGAGTGGATTTGAAATAGAATGTTAAACATGCGATTAATCGTGAGTTAACTCACCATTACTATGCGATTAATCAACTAAAAAAAATGAATCGTTTGACAGCCCTAGTATATATATATATATATATATATATATATATATATATATATATATAATTTGAACCGAGAATAGAACACATCTTTCATGTCATGAATAAAAATAAAAAATCCAAACTTTTGGTCTGTACATACATGAGATGAGCACTTACACTTTCAACATGTCTTTTGTCCTATTATTTCCGATTTTGACATGACAAGCTATAATCAATCATGATCAAATGTGTGTGTGTGTGTGTGTGTGTGTGTGTGTGTGTGTGTGTGTGTGTGCGTGTGTGTGTGTGTGTGTGTGTGTGTACAAAATCCGGGTCTACGGTGTGCTGACCTTATCCATGGCGCAAAGTTGTGCTCCCCCTCAACCCTGATTAGCATTTGTATAGCTCACAGCATTGCCATTTAAGGTAGGTTGTTACTGATGGTAACCTTTGTTACTTTGGTCCCAGCTCTCTGCAGGTCATTCACCAGGTCCCCCCATGTGGTTCTGGGATTTTTGATCACCGTTCTCATGATCAATTTGACCCCACGGGATGAGATCTTGCGTGGAGCCCCAGATCGAGGGAGATTGTCAGTGGTCTTGTTTGTCTTCCATTTTCTGATAACTGCTCCCACAGTTGATTTGTTCACACCAAGCTGCTTGCCTATTGTAGTCTGGTGCAGGTCTACAATTCTTTTCCTGGTGTCCTTCGACAGCTCTTTGGTCTTGGTCATAGTGGAGTTTGGAGTCTTGACTGTTTGAGGCTGTGGACAGGTGTCTTTCATACAGATAATGGCACCTGTTTGAACTCGTTAATACAGGTAACGAGTGGAGGACAGAAGTGCTTCTTAAAGAAGAAGTTACAGGTCTGTGAGAGCCAGAGATCTTCCTTGTTTGAAGTGACCAAATACTTATTTTCCACTATAATTTACGAATAAATTCTTTAAAAATCTTACATTGTGAATTCCTGGATTTTTTTCTCACATTCGGTCTCTCACAGTTGAAGTAGGGCTGGGCGATATGGCAAAAAAGTAAAATCTCGATTTTATTTCCTGCTTTGGACGATGCCGATTTTAAATCAATTTTCATTAAAGTCACTCAAGACAGACTTTGCCCTTAAAATATTTTTTATCTTCCCGCTCAATATTTAAGTTTCAAAACTATTTTTTATTTGTTTCCCCAAATACATATTATGAAAGTCTTGTACAGACTGTGCTGATATTGCAAGTATAATGGATGTGCTGCTGGAACTCTCACAATATCCCTTATTCGATTTCACAATTTTCCAATTTTTCACGAATTTGATTTTTTCAAAAGCCGATTAATTGCCAAAATTCGATTTATTGCCCAGCCCTAAGTTGAAGTGTACCTATGATGAAAATTACAGACCTCTGTCATTATTTTAAGTGGGAGAACTTGCACAATTGGTGGCTGACTAAATACTTTTTTGCCCCACTGTATGTTTAATCAAACCATTGACAAGTTGAACAATAACGTTAAAAAAGTGCATATTGCTTGTGGGGATTTTAATATCGGTCTTTTAAATCCCTATAGCAATAGACAAACAAATGAGTTCCTCACAAAAATGTATAGCAACATAATAATAACAAAACCTACAAGACTCACGGTGGAAACAGACATTTTCTGTATTTTCCATCAGCTCCTCCAAATGAAAGTTAAGACAAGTACCTCTCAAACAAGGACATATAAAATAGTATTACACAAAAACTCATGAAGCCATGACAGCCTTAATCCATTCCTGGGTCAAGGGGGGTGGTAGTCAGAGCTGCACCCAGTCCACTTAGCACCAGGCCTTTTTTCAACTAAAATGAACACCTCAAAAGTAATACCTCAAAAATTGAGATGAGTATACATTTACGAACTATAAACCAATTTCACTAGTCTCCCAATTTACCAAGATTTTAGAAAAGCTGTTTGACAAAAGGATGGATGATTTTTTTTGTGCAAGCATAATATCCTCAGTGACAGACAGTTCGGATTTAGGAAAAATCGATCAACCTCTATGGCAGTCATGGATCTGGTGGAGGAAGTTTCAACTGCAATAGACAAAAGGGAATACACTGTGGGAGTTTTTATAGATCTTAGCAAAGCCTTTTATATAATCAATCATCAGATACTTTTAGCAAAAATAAGAAAATATGGCATTAGAGGAATTGCTTGTGACAGGCGAAGTTTTGAAAAGGAGGTTCCTCTTCAAAACTTTGTCCAATTAACATTATAAGTAACAACTAGAACTACACGCTCCTCCTCCTGAGGGCAGTGTAGTGTTTCATAACATAATACTGCATCTGCACAAGTTTTCATATAAAGCAATCAAAGTACTGAACTAAAAAAAAAAAATCAAACAAGATACAATTTTTACCTTTGAACTGAAAAAAGTTCTGACAGGTTTGGCCGCTCAACAGCCACGATTGAATGACGTATTTTATCAAATGTGTTTTAATACAGCTGTAAATATAGTTAGCCCTCGGAAATGTAAATTTAACTGATACAGAATGAATGAAATGTAGAGAGTGGCAAAGTGTTGTGTGGTTGATTAGAGAATGGATGGATGCAATTTCATATTTTATATCGGAATGTATTTCTCTGGGAGGTGGAAACTAGCTAGTAACTGTTGCAGAGCATAAGAAAAGATAAGATAAACTTTACTGATCTCACAATGGAGAAATAGAATCACTCGGGGTGTGTAAAAGACAGTGTGCAAACATGTTAAAAGGTTAATATATAGTCTCTTTGTGCGAGATATATTATGTACAATAAACATTAAAAGTGACTATAGCAGTGAACATATTTTTCTCTATGAGCTTTTTGTCTACACTGTCCTTTCAACAAAGATTAAAGTAAAGTAACCCTTTCTAATAAGACAGAACAGTGAGCGCTTCAGTGGGTTACGAGTTAGCGCAAGAACAGTAAAGTAAACTAACATTAAATAAATGTGTGTAAAAGTCTTCAAAAGAGGATTAGGGCTGAAATACGGGTTTTATGCAAAGGGAACATTAATAAAGCTTCATTTGAACAGAACACAGAGATTTGTGACATTTACAGGAGACGAGCCGACCTGATCCACTTTGTAAATGTTACTTTTGTCTCTTAACTCTTCTTTGTTCTCTCATCAAGATCTAATCACCTTGTTCCAAAGCAGAAGTCACACTACCTAACTTTACTTTAAGCAAGAACAAAAGCACTTTCAAAAGAGTCCTGAGGGACCAGAGAGAGAACAAAGAAACTGGAGAGAGCCCTGGGAAACAAGAGAAACACTTAAAAAACTAGAGACAGACCAGAGAGACAGACCAGAGAAAGGGCTGAGAAACAAGAGCCCAGAGAGAGACCCAAAAAGAGGGAAAGGGACCAGAGGGAGACCCGAACCCAGAGAGAGACCTGTGTGACTTGTGTGTAGTTTTAGGACCTTCTTAAACCGACATATAAGCAACGAGCCAGAGTCTGAATCAGAGGTGTCCAAACCGGTCCAGAAAGGGCCACTGTGGCTGCAGGTTTTCTATCAGATCCAGCAGGAGCAGAGCAGACTCCACCCATTTCCTCAAATCTTCAGGTTAAGACTGAACTCACTTGAGGAAATGGGCGGAGTCTGCACTGCTCCTGCTGGGTCTGATAGAAAACCTGCGATAGAGATAGTCGACTATTGTCGCCACACGTTCGAACCTTATCTAAGGTTCGTCAACCTGACACACGCAGTCAGGCATAACTTTAAAAACAAAATGTATTGGCTTGAATGTTACTTGAATGTTACTTGAGGGATGCAGTCCGAAGAAGATAGCCACCATGGACCGCTTTATGCAAAAGAAGCAGATGTGCACCCCGCAACAGGCGACTGTCCTCACAGAGTAAGTATTGCAGATGCTGATCTATGATATGAGGCTGCTCTCCATGGTCAATGGGGCCGGGTTTCAACAGATGATAGCCCAGTTCAACAAAGAGTACATCCTGCCGTCCAGAACCCATTTCACTCACATTATGGAGCAGATATACAATACAACGTTTCTGAAGGTTATTTTTCAATATACACACGCAGTCAGTCACACACACACATATAAGCAACCACACATTACATTTAAGAGCAATTACATATTTCATATTAGCAATCACACGCACACACACACACATTTCCTAATGAAAAAAAAAAGAGAAAATCACACATATTTCATGCAATCACAAATTATATTTAAAAGCAATCATGAATTTATAATTGTTTTTTTTTTGTTTTTTTCTTCAAATAGCTGAAATACATAACTTAAGACTTGTAAGTTGAATATTTTCTTTGTACATGTAGGTTTTTGCAACATTTACAAAAATCAATGTTTGTGTTTAAAGGTAAACGAGATCCTAAAAGAGGTCAAGAGAGGTCAGCTCCCTCACACCGACATGTGATGTTTGGACCAGCCGTGCCACAGAGGCATGTCTCGGAGTTTCGTGTCACTTCATCACAAAAGACTGGCAAATTAAGACTTTGAACCTCGCCACTCTACCACTGGAGGAGAGGCATACTACTGCAAACGTCATGATATGGATGGAAGAGGTGATAGAGAAATTTGATATCTTGCCTAGAAAAATTAAAGCAATCCACCATGTTAAACGGGTCTAAGATGGTGGCGTCAGCTCGACTCCTGGAGGAAAAACACGGTTGGTCTTCAGTCCGCTGTTCTGGGCACACCCTCCAACTCGTTGTCAACAGTGCCCTCAAAGCATCAACAAAGAGACTGGTGCTGCAAGAAGCTTAGTGGAGCACTTTAGGAGAAGTGAGCTGGCAAATTCAAAATTGAAGAAGAAGCAGCAGCAGCAAATGAACACCGCAGAGCACAAGCTGATCCAGGACATTAGTATGCGATGGAATAGTACTTATTACATAGTGGAGAGACTCCTGGAGCAGACCCTGAGGTAACACCAAGAGGCAAGCACAACTTTGACCTGAAACCAGAGCAGTGGGTGCTACTTGAAGACCTGGTGCAAGGGCTGGGGCCTTTTGAATGTGCTACCGTTATCCTCAGTGGACAGGAGTACGCTACTGCTTCATGTCTTCCACAGCTGGTGAAAGGGTTGCAACGGTCCATACAGCAAACCCAGTTTGAGACGAGCTCAGGAAAAGCCTTTCAAGTGTTGTATTAAATATAGGCTAAAAGGCGATGTGAATTAGATTGACCTGAAATTGAACTCTGTCTGTCTCCAAGCAAAAAGAAAGACCTTGTATTGCCCAACTCCCCTTGTCCCATTTTGTCCAAAGTGCATGGGTGAGTTAATGATAGTTAATCTGGGGGGATTCTGCTAATCCTTTCAAGTTGTGAAAGAAGGAGATGGAGTCCAGAATCTGGAGGAGAAGCCTTGAGATCCCTCTGCCTTATCTCAAAGGAACTAATAAATCGATAGAATTAGGGAGGGGTAGTGCGTGAATGATTTCTGTTTAGGTTTGGCGAGACGGAGGAAAAGGCCGGACCTTGGACCAGACATCTGCCTGATACGACACGCCCCCTTCTTCATGCACATTTACTTATAATAACCTCATGCTTGTGTTAGTCTAGACCGGACCAGGGACAGGAGTGTGATTTGCGTGGAGCGCCCACCAAAATCATACTTTTATATTTTATATAGAGAATAAGGGATAGTTACTTTTGGTCCGAACAGCTGTTTTAGATTCTTTTTGTATTAGGGAAATAAACCTTTTTGAATTTAACTTCCTGAATCATGGTCATCTTTATAAGGGATTTTGAACACGTCATGTTTTAATATAATAATTGGTGACCCTCGACGTGATCCCTTTGATGACTTTTCGCCTTCCCTTGGACTCTGCGTCTCTCCTCAAAGCGGCCGCTGAACTGAAGGTAAGCAGATACCTTTTGACTAATGAAAAATCTGCATATTGGACTAAACAAATTAAGGGGAGAGAAGTTTTGTCCACGGAGGAGCTAATTCAAAAAGTAAAAATAGTAAAAGCCTAAAAAGTAGTTAGAACCCTGCGAGAATATATTAAAAGTAAAGATTTTTTGAGAAGCCTTGCCAGAAACAGGAAAGCCCGCTGTGACTAGCGTGGTTGACGGACGCGTCAACACACAAGTTAGGTTTAACCCATTGGAACCTGGGGGAATTTTGGGCCCCCCCGAAAAATGGAGACAGGCATTCCAATCGAGCAGCTATATAGAGAAATAGAGGCTCAGATTCTGAGTGGTCTGGATAAAAAATATAGGAACAAGGCAAAACGAAAGGCTGTGAAAGCATGGGAAAAAATACAGAACAAAAGGGTCATACCTGAGTATATGACAGCGTCCGCATTGGCTAAGATATTGCGGGAAGAGGAAAATAATTTAAAACAGGATAAACTTGAGCTTGAGGGAAAGCAAGGAGAGAGTTGGAATGAGCGTAGAAAAATTAAAAAGAAACCTAAAAAAGGCTGAGAAACTGAGGACCAAGGTACATAATTTTGCTTTGGCTGCCACGGCGTTGGCAAAATTACCGATGGTAAGTAAAGACAAGGAAACAGAAAACGGAGCAATGCCGGTGAGTAATATATACCCATCCCTACCCACGGCTCCACCAAAGTACTCTCTAGGTTTAGAACCAGGTAAGCCAAATCTAATATTGCCACAATATACATTTTCAGGAGAAGTGGCGGTAGGAAAGAGAGGGGACAATGACTTTGTAGACAGTGAATTTGACGAAGGGACAGAACAGGAGTCTGTGGGGGACAATAGAGATCCGAGTCAAAATCCAGCTGTCAGCAGCCCGCCACAGCTCCCACACACCCCTCACCAACCCCCACCCATCCAAGAGGTGCAGGAGCTGCTCCTGCACTCTCTCAGAAATATTAGAGCTAGGAAACCGACCTCTGAATGCACCACAGACAGAGTTGAGGGAGAAGAAACCCCAAGTAGGACCCATGATTACGAGACCGCTAGACAGGAGAATGCAAAATTAATTAATAAAGCCGCACGCAGAGCCATGACTAGGACGGACAGTGAAAATGAAAAGGGAGACGGTGCCATGGCCCAGCCAATACTTAAAGCTAAACAGGCTAAAAAAGGAGCTAAAATTCTCTTCTGACAGTAGTGATGACGGAGACCAGGAGCCTGGAGAAACTAGACCGGTGGCAAGCAGAACCAGGTCTCAGACAAAATCCATGTTCCCTCTGAGACCAGGACGAGGCGCAGCTGGGGAGTACCATCCTTTTTCTGTAAGTGACATGCAGACTATAAAAGACAAAATGCCTCCATTGTGTCAGGGAGCTGGAAACTGGATTTCCAGTCTGAACACATGGTTTACAGGTCATGATGTCGCGATGGGTGACGTCCGGGCAGTGATGGCAGCATGCAGTAAACCATGGGAGAGAGATGCTATTGAAAGACAAGCTGGTACTGCTGATGTTTGTGATTCTTCCAGATTTGGCCAGTATGCAAATGCCTGGTATGAAGCACTGAGGGAGAACTTTCCAACCCCGCTGTCTTCTGCCCCTCGTGAGTTAACTTGGCTGGAGTCTGAGGACCCAATTGTATTTTATGACAGGAGTGTGACCAAGTGGATGGACACAGTAGGAAGACACCCTCACAAGGTCAGTGAAGTCATGCCTTTTAGAGCAGCTATTTTGAATGGTTTACCAGAAACAATACGCTCAAAGATTGAAGACAACCCAGATAATATTAACCCGGATTCAGCACAGTGGAAAACAAATTTAATCTTTCACATTAAGCGATATGTTGAAAATAAAACTAAAGAAAGAAAGAGTGTTGAAGATATGACTTGTCAACTTTTGAAGTTACAGCTTAGTGAAGCGAGAAATAAAGCCACACAAAATAAAAAAGGAACCAGTAATCAGATGACTAATATGCCTGCTGGACTTCCCACTCCACCACGACAGGACTGGACAAGGGGAGGGGCCAGAGGTGGTGGGCGTGGGGGCCGGGGAGGAAGAAGGGGCGGAAGCTGGAAAGGGGGCAGGGATGTGTGTCACCTCTGTTACAGGCACGGTCACTGGGCGAGGGACTGCCCCTTTGAAGGAGAGGCCTCCTACTACCATGGAGCGCCTGAGATGGTGCGTGGGAGGGGCCCCCAGAGAGGCATGGGACCCAGACCAGAGCGCGCAGGCCCTCCCTCCCCATGGACGGCTCCGAATGACAACCTGGCCCCGAGAGATGGACAATATTTCCAGCATGGGAACTACTGGGGCGAGTATGAACATGAACAATCTTACTAGGGCTGCCTAGGAAATCCAGGGGACAAGGTACCAGCAGAGCCTATGCTCCCCATAAGGGTGGAGGACGACAACCTGATGGCCCTGGTGGACACTGGCGCCACCTACTCTACCATCAATACAAAGATACGCCCTGTCCTGCTCTCTGAGGAGCACATCACCCTGGTTGGATTTTCTGGGACACCTGAGGTACTGCCACTCACTAAACGTTTAAAGACACAAATTGGAACACAGACACTGTGGCATTCTTTTGTAAATGCTCCTAAAACACCTGTCAACCTGCTGGGAAGAGACTTATTGACTAAAACCAATGCGTCAATTCTATGTGGACCGGATGGTCTACAAGTGACTTTTCCAGGGGGACAAATTTACAGATGTGTGACCGGTGTATCGATGGACTCCTGCTGGCTTCTGAGAGAAGAGATGCCAGACCAGTATGCAGACATATACTGGGTGAGACTGGACCCAGAAAACAAGTCCACGGACAATAATGGTGTGCATTCCGTCTTCTTCAAGTGGAAACCCTGGATAAATTCTTTGGCCTCCTACCACCTCCCACTGGACCCTGCCCACTTGACATTATTCTATGACAGAGACCAAGACTTAATGTACAGAGAACAATTCAAACAAATTGAAAGTGATAGGTGGACATTAGAATCAGATTACATTTATATTGGGCCTGAGGGTGTGGCGGCCCATACACGGCTGCTTCCTGAACAGTGTGAGTGGTATTACATGTCTTCCTCTGCTGTCCCACACATCACCTTGGCTGTACACCCTGGTCACGAGGCTAGAGCTTTAGGTCCAATGGTAAAGAGACTGGTAAAAGCTGACGATTGGTCTGACACCCAACTGCCTCATGTGCAGTACAGCATTGAAAATAAGTCATACAGAATAAAAGCAAATATGATAGACACAGGGGAAGTGGAGCACGAAACATTGACCAGACATCATGGTAGACACATGACAGATCATGATGATACTCATGAAATATTGAAACAGGTGCCTGCAGAAGTTTGGTCCCAAGGTCCCACGGACGTGGGGTTGTGCACCTCGTTCCCTCCTGTGTCTTTACAGATGAAGCCAGGAGGCCCGATTCGCATAAAGCAGTATGCCGCCAAACCAGACGCTGTCGAGGGTATCTCACAGGTGATAGAGGGACTTACGAAAGTGGGAGTCCTCGAGCCATCAAAATCAGAGTGGAACACGCCCACTCTAGCTGTGCCAAAAACAGGTCAGAATAAATATAGAATGGTCCATGATTTGAGAAAAATAAATGATTTAACATTAACTCAGTGTCTCCCGGTCCCAAACCCTTATACAATGCTGTCATCACTGTCACCAGACCTCCAGTATTTTACTGTTATGGATTTGGCTAATGCATTTTTCTGTATTCCCCTGGCAGAGGAAAGCAGAGATTTCTTCTCATTTACTCACAGGGGCCAAAAACTGCGTTACACCCGTCTTCCCCAGGGACATAAATGCTCCCCGGGCATTTTTAATCAGACTTTGAACGCTCTGCTGAGAGAGTTGGTGCTTCCGGAGGGCGTGGTACTCCTACAGTATGTGGACGATCTCCTCCTCGCCTCGAGAACGGAGCAGGCCTGTCTACAAGCCACTAGGGACACTATAGTCTTCTTACATTCAAAAGGATTTAAGGTCAGTAAGGAAAAGCTACAATGTTGCAGGCCTGCGGTGACCTTCCTGGGACGTAGTGTGTCTGGAGGATCCACAAATATGTCTCCAGAGCACAGAGATGCTATTTTGTCATATCCCAGACCCACCATGGTGGGGGACATGTTGTCCTTCCTGGGTCTGATAGGCTATAGCAGACACTATGTGGCAGATTTTGCAGATAAAAAACTAAACCTTTAAGAGCTTTAGTTAATGAACATGGCATGAGAAACACAAGGGCTAAACTGAATTGGGACAGAGATAGTGAGGCACAGTTTATCTCACTCAAACAGGACCTATCCTCTGCGGCTCATTTGGCTTCACCAGATTATGCTCTCCCGTTTTATTTAGATGCCACAGTGCAGTCTCAGGTAGCTAACGGGGTGTTATATCAAAAGTGCAGAGGCCAGAGAAAAATCTTACAGTATATTAGCGTTCCATTGGATTCAATCGAGGCTAGACAGGTTGACTGTTCTAGGTATGCTGCAGGAGTGGGACATTTGATTAAGAAAACAGCACATTTAGTCATGGGGCATGCTTTAGAAATATTGACTGATCATGGCGTTTGTGCATATGTGTCCTCAGCTGCATTCACTATGTCACCTTTGAGACAGTCACGGCTCTTACAGGTGCTCACTCAGCCCCACATAACTTTTACACCTCTTGGCATTAACATGGCTGACCACATGCCAAGACAGGGTGAGCCGCATGACTGCAGTGTAAGGGTAATAGACAGTCTGAAAGTGCGACCTGACCTCCAGACTGACCCACTTCAGGACCCCGACTTACAGCTTTTCACAGATGGGTGTTGCTGGAGAGAGAGGAATGGCAGCCTGAGAGCGGCATATGCAGTTGTCAGTGTTAACGGTGAAAATTTTGTTACAGTAAACAGCGGTGTTTTAACTGACAAACCATCAGCGCAGGCGGCAGAACTAGAGGCTCTCTGCGCCGCCTTGGAGTTTGCTAAAGGTAAATCTGTAAATATTTACTCCGACTCTGCGTATGCTACTCAGGCTGTCCATTTCAACCTCTCCGAGTGGAAAAGAAACGGCTTCTTGACTGCTAAAGGCCGACCCATCACACATAGAGCCCTGGTGGAGAGGCTGGACAGCGCTCTCCAGCTTCCAAAACAGGTAAGCGTCATCAAGTGCCAAGGGCACTCCAAGTCAGACAACTTTGAGGCCAGGGGAAACGAGGCGGCGGATGAGGCCGCAAAGAAAGCTGCCAACTACAAGGTCAGTACTCCAGGAGTGTTTGTGGTACGGGACGAGGGGCCAGACCTGGCAGACTGCCTGCCCGATCTGTCCCTTCAGGTTTTAGCTGAAGCCCAAACAAAAGCAGCTCCTGAAGAAATATCCATGTGGGTTCAAAAACGGGCAAAGAAGGATCCAGATACTGGCATCTGGTACGGCCCTGATGGCCGCCCCGCCCTGCCCATGGGGGACCTCTCACGAGCGGCTTTATCTGAGGCACATGGGCTAGCCCATGTGGGTCAGGTACAGATGCTCAGGAATATGTCACAATGGTGGCATCCCTTTAAGACAAGCATGATCCAAGATTATACTAGGTCCTGTCAAATATGTCAGAATTATAACCCATCGCCCTGCTCAGCTGTTTCCCCAGGAAAATTCACACCTGCTGCTTGGCCTGGGGCACATGTTGTGATGGACTTCACAGATATGATTAACAGGTGCGCAGGAAAGCGGTACCTGTTGGTCGTCACTGACACCTTTACGGGATGGCCTGAGGCATATCCTGCTGCAAAAGAGGATGCTGCCTCTGTAATCAAAGCCTTAATTCAGCATTACATCCCAACGCATGGCTTTCCCCAGTTAATAAGGTCTGACAATGGGACGCATTTCAGGAACAAACACTTGCAATTGGTAGAAAAACATCTGGGGCTAAAACATAAATTTGGAACGGTCTACCATCCTCAATCCCAGGGCCGAGTTGAAAGGATGAATCAGACCTTGAAAAGTAAACTCTCTAAAATCCTGGCAACGAGTAAATTGAATTGGCTACAGGCATTGCCTATTGCCCTGTTGTCAGCAAGGCACTCTGTTAACCGCATTCACCATTTCTCCCCATACGAGCTGTTAACAGGGAGGCCTATGCCAGGACCAGGAAACAGGGTGGTGCCTTTCACAAAAGACGACTCCCCAACACCCCCAGTGCGGGTGTACTGGGAACAATTGAGAGAAATGTTGTCTAGTTTTTCCCATCAGGTTGAAGGACGTCTCGACCTCTGCGAGAAGGAGGCCTCGGAGGATCCACCTGCCTGGGTCCGTGTGAAGGTGTTCAAAAGGAAGTGGAACGGACCCTTTGAAGTGGTGGCCCGCACTCGCAAAGCTGTTCAACTGAAGGGACACGGGAACAAGTGGTTTCATCTCTCTCATACGAGACCATCTGACCCACCCTCGTAACCACGCTCACGGGTTGGACAGGGACTCACACACACGCTTACACTCGCTCTTAATATGTTGCCTTGGGACAGGGAGCCCTGGCCCACGACCAAGAGAGGGAGAGCCATCCTATGGGCTATCGCTGCAGTTGGTTTGGTCGTGGTCCTGGGAATTTTAACATGGGAAGTGTTAGAAAACACACAGCTAAGAGACAGGGCCAGACTTGTAACACAATCCAGTCTTTGGTCCAATAAGACTGACAGAAATAAAAGATCCATAGGAGAAGGCAGCGTTACAGACTCTCTACCTACGGTTGTGACAGTAAAATGCCCGGTGGGTGCGACAATTACAGCCCACATACCAATGGCAACAATCTTTCCATTATCCTTTCGACCTGACTACACACTCTACCTGTGTTACACACCGTCAACATGTAAATATGAGAGACATGGAAAAAGCTTTAGAGCATCGGTGGACTGCACCTGTGATGCTTGGGAGTATGTTATATCCAATACAGGTCCTGATTGGGGTTATAATAATGAACACAGATTGAAGGGACGAGTGATTCTGACTACAGACCACTCACAAACAACGGTGCTAGTCACTGTGAAAAAATTGTGGGATTGATGTGAATGGGACTTACGTTATTGGACATTATCCAGGAGACATTAGACAATGGATTTCAATTGCCCTACCCGAGGACAAGGAGCTAGACAAGGAGGCCATAAATAGTGAAGTATGGCAAGACAAACAAAACGTACAGGTGACTGCTGACTGGACTGTTTCTGAATTGTTAAAACAAGCAACTGGATATGGGGATAGAAACGCTTGGTTGTGGACAGTGGAGCACATGTCAGCGGCTGCTGGCTTTGACGATTGTGTTGTGTGTTCTACTGCACGTCCCACTTTGTATACAGCCCCGGCTCCACTTTTCCCAGAAGATGTAGATGGTTATAATTGTATGATAAAGTTGTTTTGGCAAGAAAAGGACCTGACTGAGGAGACAAAGACAGTCCCTAGCAACTGTTCAATGTTTGAAGTATTGTTTCCAGAATTGGATTCAGAAATTCAGCCCCCTATGTTTTCCCACAGGAAAAGCAATTACACCTGTTTCCACTCACTCAATGGAGGGACGAGGCCGCGTCTCCAGTGGGGGTTCCTTCCAGCAGACTGGTGTGTCAACAACGTCACCCTGCCCAGTCCGGTCCCCATGACCCGGACCAGAGGTGATTTGTATTGGTTGTGTGGAGATTTAAAACTTAGACATAGACTAATAAAAAATTTTACAGGCAGTTGTGCAATGGTGCGATTAATGATGCCCATTTCCATAATTGGCCATAAGCCATCCCTAGACAGTCCCCACCCACAGCATAGATTTAAAAGGGCAATCCCATTCCTAGATACTGGGAAAGATAATCCAACTTACATGGACTCTATAGGTGTTCCACGTGGAGTCCCTCATGAATTCAAACTGGTAGATCAAGTTGCAACAGGTTTCGAAAATCTTCCAATAATTTCCGCTATTTTCCCTATCACGCCAAACAAAAATGTAGATAGAATTAATTTCATTTGGTATACTATGCTTAGGCTTGCCAATCACACCAGGGACGCAATAGAGGGATTGGCGGAGCAGCTGGGGGCCACCTCTCTGGTAGCATTTCAAAACAGAGTGGCTCTAGACATGCTCTTAGCAGAGAGAGGTGGGGTCTGCAGTCTATTTGGTACAGAATGTTGTGTATACATTCCAAATAACACACATCCAGATGGATCAGTTTCCAGGGCTCTGGCTGGTCTCAAAATGCTGTCAGAGCAAATGCATGACGTTTCTGGAGTCCCGGAGAACCCACTGGAGGCGTGGCTGGACAGCATCTTGGGGAAGTGGAAGCATGTAATTTTGTCTGTTATCACAAGCCTTGCGGCCATCTTTGCAATAATAATGGTTGTAGGATGCTGCTGTATACCTTGTATACGTTCTCTTTGTGTTAAAGCTATAGACACCGCTGTTAACCCTGGACTGAGAGGTCAAATGCTTGCATTGGTTGAGGATTCCCCCGTCCCGTCGCCTGAGGAAGGTTATTGAAATGTGTGGCCTTTTTTAATAGCGGCCAAAAGAGGGGACTGTTGTATTAAATATAGGCTAAAAGGCGATGTGAATTAGATTGACCTGAAATTGAACTCTGTCTGTCTCCAAGCAAAAAGAAAGACCTTGTATTGCCCAACTCCCCTTGTCCCATTTTGTCCAAAGTGCATGGGTGAGTTAATGATAGTTAATCTGGGGGGATTCTGCTAATCCTTTCAAGTTGTGAAAGAAGGAGATGGAGTCCAGAATCTGGAGGAGAAGCCTTGAGATCCCTCTGCCTTATCTCAAAGGAACTAATAAATCGATAGAATTAGGGAGGGGTAGTGCGTGAATGATTTCTGTTTAGGTTTGGCGAGACGGAGGAAAAGGCCGGACCTTGGACCAGACATCTGCCTGATACGACACGCCCCCTTCTTCATGCACATTTACTTATAATAACCTCATGCTTGTGTTAGTCTAGACCGGACCAGGGACAGGAGTGTGATTTGCGTGGAGCGCCCACCAAAATCATACTTTTATATTTTATATAGAGAATAAGGGATAGTTACTTTTGGTCCGAACAGCTGTTTTAGATTCTTTTTGTATTAGGGAAATAAACCTTTTTGAATTTAACTTCCTGAATCATGGTCATCTTTATAAGGGATTTTGAACACGTCATTTTTTAATATAATACAAGCCATTGCAGGAAAAGGAATAAGTCAGAGATGGGAGATTCTTAACACTGTGTCTGCAGAGAGAGACAAACCACTTGTTCTTGCAGCTGCCATCGATCCAAGATTCAGAAAGATCTGTGGATATTAGGGGTGTGTGATACTTTCTCCCGCGATTCGATTATCGATATGCATTTGCCAAGTATCGATATCAATTAAAAAAACAAAAAAATATTTTTTTTTTTTTTTACTTTTTTGTTACAAATCATTTTTTGAAATTGGTATCAATACTTAATATATGGCTACATTACGCATCTCCATTACATTTATCATGAAATAAAGTGTATTTTTTCTTTTATTTATGCCATAAATTGGCATATTGTATATTTCTGACCAATATATCGATAATTGTCATATCGTGATAACATCGTCATCGTGAGCTTTGTATCGTATCGTGAGGTACCCTTAGATTCCCACCCCTAGTGGATATGCTGACTTTTCTTTGTATGAATAAACTGAACAACATGGGTCCGTGTATTTTTCGTTCAATTGTTTTTTCAAATTAAAATAGAAAATGAAATATCAAAAAATGGCTTGAATTTTCATTTTTCATTTTGATGAGGAAAAGGAAAAACGAAAAATTGGCTTGATATTTGATTTTTCGTTTCAATGCAAAAAATGAAAAAACGAATTATTGAATAATGCTTTCATGCCGATTTGATTTCATTTTTCATTTTGGCGCAACCGGAAGTGTGCGCCAAAGCCCGTGCACCCCATTATTTTCGTCCGGTTTGAAACAGCAGAAAGCAGGCGCGTGCAGGAGGAACAGAACAGAAACAACACTTGATATGGTCCTGTCCTGATCATTTACAGATTTGCGGGGATGACTTCAACAGAGGTAAGTAATGTTACTGTTTTGTATGATATTTAGACCAAATCAATGTGTATATTTTCCAAGATGTGATATTTCAACAAATGTAAAGCAAAGTGAATCATCAAAAGAACGTATACAAAAGTGTATATTTTGAATATATAAACGTAAGCCTAACTGTAATAATACAATTCCACAGATAGAAATGCTTCTATGACAAGCCAAAATCATCTTTTCTTTGGGCCTTATAAGGTTAGTGTAGCATGAGACTTTTTGTTGTATATTTACAACAGTGAAGTCAATTTTGCAGCCAAGACAAGCTAACATTAGCAACATTATTATTCCCATAGAAAATACAGCATAATTACCACTGTTACTGTTTTTTATTAGTGTTATTACTGACACTAGTCTGCTCCTAATACTACACAAGTTGTCTGTAGGTATAAAACTATATCAACTGTTCTGATAAATTCAACATCTTTTTTCATGGCTCACATCAATGAAGTTTGTACAAAACATACATTCCAGAATGGTGACATGTAAATATTTTTGCTTTTCCTTCCAGGACTCCAGTCCAGTTAAATCTGAATTCCTGAGAGCAGTGACTCTGAAAGGGGGGGGAGGAGGAGGAAGAGGAGCAGCCAGAGGAGGAAGAGGAGCAGCCAGAGGAGGAAGAGGAGCAGCCAGAGGAGGAAGAGGAGCAGCCAGGAGAGTCTAGAATAAGAAGAGCACATCCTGTTGGTTATAAAGAAGCCCGCTTTATTCGTCCCACAGTGGGGAATTAAAACAAAAATGCAACTCATTACCACTTTAGAAACAAGTCTTACATTTATTTCAATGTTTGGGAAAAAATGTGTAAAAAATCTGACATAATATAAATAAATGTGCTGTGTCCATCTTTGATTGCTGTCCTCTGTTGAGGGGCCAGATATCAAGTTCTAGAAAAAGAAAAAGATTTTATATCATTGAGACTTTTTTCACATTTGATTCTCATCGCTACTCTCCTCGCCCTCTCCTGTCTGCTCCAGTTCAGCTGCAGGAGGAGGGATCCTGGGGACAGGACCCAAGGCCCCTGGGGTCATGCCCCCCCTCTCCCCGCCCTCTCCTCGCAGAGCTGAGGCGCCCTGGTCTGGGATAGAGTCCTCGCCCTCTCCTCGCCCTCTCCCTCTCCTCGCCCTCTCCCTCGCTCTCTCCCCGCTCTCTCCCCGCCCTCTCCTCGCTCTCCCCCCGCCCTCTCCCCGCCCTCTCCTCGCTCTCTCCCCGCCCTCTCCCCGCCCTCTCCCCGCCTCTCTCCTCGCTCTCTCCCCGCCCTCTCCTCGCCTCTCCTCGCTCTCTCCCGCTCTCTCCTCGCCCTCTCCTCGCTCTCTCCTCGCCTCTCTCCCCGCCCTCTCCTCGCCCTCTCCTCGCTCTCCTCGCCCTCTCCTCCCCGCCCTCTCCTCGCCCTCTCCTCGCCCTCTCCTCCTCGCCCTCTCCTCCGCCCTCTCCTCGCCCTCTCTCGCCGCTCTCTCCCCGCTCGCTCTCTCCCGCGCCCTCCCCGCCCTCTCCCGCCCTCTCCTCGCCCTCTCCTCGCCCTCTCCTCGCCCTCTCCTCGCCCTCTCCTCGCTCTCTCCCCGCTCTCTCCCCGCTCTCTCCCCGCTCTCTCCCCGCTCTCTCCCCGCTCTCTCCCCGCCCTCTCCTCGCCCTCTCCTCGCCCTCTCCCCGCTCTCTCCTCGCCCTCTCCTCGCCCTCTCCCCGCTCTCTCCTCGCCCTCTCCTCGCCCTCTCCCCGCCCTCTCCTCGCCCTCTCCTCGCCCTCTCCTCGCCCTCTCCTCGCCCTCTCCCCGCCCTCTCCCCGCTCTCTCCCCGCTCTCTCCCCGGTCCCCTGCTCGCTCTCTCCCCGCTCTCTCCTCGCTCTCTCCTCGCTCTCTCCCCGGTCCCCTGCTCGCTCTCTGGTCCCCCGCTCACTGGTCTCCCTCTGATTTAGAGCCAGGATGGAGCAGTGTTTGAATAATTCCAGATGATCACGTGTCAGACAGACTGTGGGTGCAATGCAGTGATAAAGAGTGAGCTGTGAAGACACGCTGCCCCCTGCTGGTTAAGACCAGGACTACTCTGAAAAATTGAATAACAACTGATTCAGGCTGAACACAGAACAGTTTGGCTCTGATGAACAATTTATATTAAACTCTTCTAAACCTGCTGGCAATATTTTCTTCCCCGAGAGCAGAAGCAAGGTCTCTCTCCGGTCTCTCTCCGGTCTCTCTCCGGTCTCTCTCCGGTCTCTCTCCGGTCTCTCTCCGGTCTCTCTCCGGTCTCTCTCCGGTCTCTCTCCGGTCTCCCCCTCTCTCCGGTCTCCCCATCTCTCTGGTCTCCCCATCTCTCTGGTCTCCCCATCTCTCTTTCAGGTCTGTCTCTCTTTCAGGTCTGTCTCTCTTTCAGGTCTGTCTCTCTTTCAGGTCTGTCTCTCTTTCAGGTCTGTCTCTCTTTCAGGTCTGTCTCTCTTTCAGGTCTGTCTCTCTTTCAGGTCTGTCTCTCTTTCAGGTCTGTCTCTCTTTCAGGTCTGTCTCTCTTTCAGGTCTCGGTCTTCCTCTCTGGTCTCCCTCTCCTTATGTTATTTTAATCCCATCAGCACTGTCTGTAAATACAAATTCCATTCTCTGGTGTGAGCATTGGGCTGTGATCAGATTTAGATCCCTCCCCTTTAATCTGGGCGGGTTTTTGCCCCAGATTCAGAGGATTAATGCCCACTGCTGAGTCCAGCCACATGATTCACACAAGACACTTCAGATACTGGATAAACAACTTTGTTCAAATTTCCAAAGGGTCTCCTCTGCCCTAGAGAGCTCCAGTGGTTCTGCAGGCAAAAGTACAGCTGCAAGAAAAACTTCTGTGTGTATGTGCGCATGTCCTATTGTGTGTGTGCGCATGTGTGTGAGTGTGTGAGTGTCTCAATGAGAGTGTATGGAGCAATTACTGTTTCAATAATATTGTGCGTGCTTAAACAGATTTGTGTGTGCTTAAAAATATTTGTGCGTGTGCAAATTGTATGTGCGTAACAAGATTTGTGTGTGTGTCTCTGGAGATTCCTAAGTGTAATGTGGTTGTTTTAGCTTTATACCATCAGATGGTGTTGTTGTAGCTGGTTATTACACGTAAGCAAACCAAAATAAAATATATATATATTGTTACGTCTTTCCTGTTTTAAGCCCCCAGACCGTGGTCGAGGGAGCGCAGGGGAGATTCTCTTCTCCAGGGCCGAAGAGATGCGCTCTTCCGGGGCATAACTCCCATCTAAGTTTGACCCTCACTGTCAAAGTGTGGTGCGGTTTCAAAGACACTCCGTACTATTGCTCAAGAGTGGGGCTTTATTGTTTCTCCCAATCCACCATACCAAGCACTCGTTACCTGTCTTGCTCCGGTCGACATATCATAGTTAGAGCGGAGGCCAAACGAGCAAAGTTCATGGCGCTAAAGTGTAAATAAATAAAAAAAACTGAAGGATTTAAGAAGAAAAAACTGAAGGATGATAAGGGGCACTAAAAGCCCCAAAAATCCAACCTTTATGAAAGCTGTAGGTCAGAGGTGTCCAAACCAGTCCAGAAAGGGCTGCTGTGGCTGCAGGTTTTCTATCAGAAACCAGCAGGAGCAGAGCAGACTCCACCCATTTCATCAAATCTCTGCTGTAGGTTCTCTGTCAGCTGAGGTCGAGATGTTTTAGTTTACATTGAGTTCTATAGGGAAAATTTCTGGGTAGCCCACGTGAATTTAGTCTTGTTTAGTCTGCAGTACCGCGAGAATCCCCCGAGCACATGGGTCCTTCTAGCCTGGCTCTCGCCAGACCCTTGTGGTTCCGCCATGCTCCACCAGAGGCGTTGTGCAGCGATCTACAAGGGTCTGGCAAGAGTCAGGCTAGGGTCCTTCAGCTTCAAGCTAGAAATACCCTATCTAGATATTATAATAGATCCATGCATTATACAGTGGTAAGAATGACAGGATTTTGAAATTTAAAAAAACATCATAAACGGCTGAGGAAGTGTATCTCGACAGTAGGTTTTGGTTTGCTTGCGTGTAATAACCAGCACCATCTGCTGGTATAGTGCTAGAACAACCACATTACGCTTGCGAATCTCCAGAGACACTGAGACTGTGTCAACATTTTTGTAAAACGAGAGCCTGTGCGTAGAACTTAGGCTTTTTTCTGTTGTTCTCTTCTTACAACGTGGTTATACAGATTGTTCTGATACAGATACAAATGTCAAATTACACACACACAAATCTGTTTGCGCACGCACATAGTCCAAGTTACACTGGCGAATCTGCGAAGGCAGGACTGTGTCAAAAAATCTGTGTGCAAAAAAAAAAGACTTGTGTGTAAAACGTATATCTTTTTTTACACACACACAGATCTAGTTACGCACACACAAATCTTGCTTGGCAGATACAAATCTATTTACACAAGCAAAAATATTTTTTTTTTTACACACACACAAATCTGGATACGTACGCACAAATATCATTGAAACAATAATAGCTCCATATGTGTGTGTCTCAGTGTGTGTGTGTGTGTCTCAATGAGTGTGTCTAAGTGTGTCTACCTTGATACGTGGCATGGTAACCGTTGGCGCCCGCGCTTTAGCCACGTAGCTGTGTGAGGCGCCTCTCTCCACCAGGTGGCGTGTGTACGGCATGTGTGTGTGACCATGTGACCCAAACAGGAAGTCCTCTCTGAGCGCATCCACCAACATGATGACCACACGACCAAAGAGCGCATGAGGAGGCGATGAGGAAGAGTTCAGGAGCCCACCTGGAAGAGAGAAGGCGAGAGATCAGAGGAGAAGGAGAGGGATCAGAGGAGAAGGAGAGGGATCAAAGGAGAAGGAGAGGGATCAGAGGAGGGAGACCAGAGGAGGGAGAGATTAGAGGGAGAGTTCAGGACCCCACCAGCAGAAGAGGAGGAGAAGAAGGAACTCACCTGGAGAAGAAGAGGAGGAGAGAGATAAGAGAAGGAGGAGGAGAGAGCTCAGAGGAGAAGGAGGGGAGGAGAAAGCTCAGAGGAGGACGGGGGGAGAGAGCTCATTAGGTCAAGGGGGTGGGAGCTCAGAGGAGGAAGAAGAGGAGTGTACCTGTGATCAACAGAAAGACCCCCTCATGTTTGAACTGGGACAATAATAAGTATGACACTGGACCCAGTGTCATGCAGCCTCAGAATTGAGCACCACAACTGTCTTGCAAGCACTCGACAAATAAACATGAATTGTGCTCAAAAGGCGCTGTGCTAATAAACTGAAAGGTACATGATAAAGGAGTTTAGGGAAACACTCCATATGTACTTCCTGCTGCAGCTCAGGAAAGCCAAGCTGCCTGCACAGATGTTGGTGCCGTTCTACACGGCCATCATCGAGTCCACCCTCACCTCCTCCATCACCTCCTCCATGACTTCCTCCATCACCGTGTGGTTCGCTGGAGCCACAGTCAGAGACAAGTCAGAGACTACAGCGTATTGTGCGCTCTGCAGAGGAAGTGATCGGCCACAGCCTCCCATTGCTGCAGGACCTGTACGTCGCCCGAGCTTGCGGACAAGCTGGTCGTATCTTTGCTAACCTCTTTCACCCCGCACAGGGACTATTCCAACCACTCCCCTCAGGAAGGAGACTTCTGTCCATCAGGACCAGAACCCCACCATAAGAACAGTTTCTTTCCCTCTGCTGTTGGACTCATGAACACTTCATAAACCATCACTGACCTCTGCCCTTATGACTGTCACTTTATGCTACTGTCACTTTACTGCACTCTACCTCTTAACCCTTAGAAGTGTTAAGAGGTCGTTTTCTTGAAAAATCTTTGTAATAATTTTTTTTTAATCATTTCATACTCCGGGGTGAAAGTAGCTCAGTTGGTAGAGCATAGGTCTTTGGTTCCAATGGCCGTGGGTTTGAGCCCACCATGACCCATGTCAATTTCATATTCCAGGTATTCCTCAAAAAACAAGTTTTTGATAGAATGTCATTCACATTTTTAACTTACTAGTTTTTGTATTGCTACCCCAAGCTTCCATAAGTGGGTCAAAAATGACCCGCATGCATTCTCTATGGAATACAGGGGGAATCTTTGATTCTTATCCACTGTGGCTGTCAAGAATAAATCAACTGTGGATTACACAGACAATACCAGAAATGTCACTCCTCCGGAAGATTATTTTATTCAGCAAGAGCTAATACTTGTAAGAATTACATGCCAAGCAAGCCCGGCAAGTACAGCCTAGGGATCCTCTGGGTTTGTGATGCATGCATCCCCTATGCAATAGATGGAAAATGTGAAAAAACGCATTTGTGCATGCATTAGCTGTCACCAGACCCATTCATTTGACGAGTGCCTTCTGAAGTCCACAGCGGCTAAACTAGAGTGGTCCAAAAAATATACTCCCCTCAGCATTGACACACATCTGGAGTGTAGCTTTGGACCAAGAGCTGACTTTTGGAGCATCCTGTAAACGTTTTCGAGGAAAGAAGACGCCATACAGAAGCATTGGATATTTTTTTTCCTGGATACACCCCCACCGGCCCGGGGTAGGATTGAAAGTATGTCAGCGAATGTGCTCATAGACGTTTTTGAGCTGGGACCCGCCCCCACTGTTTGGCACCTACACCTGCACGCACCAAACACAGAGGTGGCCCATAGTGCTGTGGTACAACATCATTGACATTGCCACCCTGAATCACACACACACACACACACACACACACACACACACACACACACACACACACACACACACACACACACACACACACACACACACACACACACACACAGATACATACAAGCACACACACACAGAGACACATACACATAATGGATGTTCACATTTTTCTATTGTTGTTCTGGGTAATTTTCTTCTTCAAACATTTTTATTTTTGCATGCCTTCTTGTTTTTATTCTGCTTTAACTTGTTTGCATTGAGAGCCAAAGCAATTACCTAGTTTGTGACTTCCTGTTACTCACATGGCAATAAAAAGGATTCTGATTCTGATAATCACATTCAAAACTCTCAGCCCAAAGAGACATAAAGCGACTCACACTGCTCTCCTGCACAAGTATGACATTCTGAATCCATTCATTCACAGCACCCTCATTTTAGCCTGAGAGCTGTTTGAGAGTTTTCACATTTCTGTCTGAAAGAGCTGATGTGACCGAGGCCAAATTTACTCCGCAAACCGAGCTCAGAGAGAGGGTCCAGAGAGAGAGCCTACGGAAAGATCCCAGAGAGAGAGACCAGAGACATAGAAAAACCAGGAGAGATAGACTAGAAAGCCCAGACAGAGACCACAGAGAGACCAGACACTAGAGACCAGGGGGAAACCAACAATGCAAACGTGAAAACTAGTGATGCAATACTGCAATAAAATCCATGTAGTTCCTGCTCTGAAACAGAGTTTTACTCAGGTGGTATGAAAGTTTCGTAACCCAGCTTTAACTTGGCTCACTCACCTGCCAGTGGCTCCGCGCTGCGGTCTGAGCTGCTGCTGCGGGGGGAGGACTTGACGGCCGCAGGAAAGAAGCCTCTGAGGAACAGTCCCACGGAGAGGACCTGACACAGCAGCAGTGCCGAGACGAACACGGAGCCACGCACTTTCATTTTACCAAAAAACAACAACACAACACGAGAATCAACACTACCGGGACATCAGCAGCCGGTCTGAGTACACCTGCTCGGACTACGCGTCATTTTGGACGAAAAGGGGCTTTAAACATACAGGAGTCCCAGATTAAATACGTCAGGCACGAGCTTCCACGTACTCCCGTGTCATTCCACTGTTTAACTGCTAAAATAAATAAATAAAAAGTGAAAAGTGACCAGATAAACCTAAGCTAGCTTTTATCGGCACTACATCTCGTCTTCCGCGGTGTTCGTTGCCTACAAGTACGGTGGCCGCGCAGGTAACATGTTAACACAATTTAAAAACACCGATTAATTATTATTATTTTTATTATTAATAATAATAATATTACTTACAGTATACATATACAACGCTCTCGTAAATCCTCAAACAATAATAAATACTGCTTATTAATAAAAAGAAAGGAAATACTGATGGCATTCAAAATACATGTCGAAAGTAGAACATAGTAATATTTAAAAACTCGAATGTGTCCGAATGATTATTTTTTGTCGTAGCTTACTAACATTAACAGTCTGAGCTTACAGCGCCTGTAATCAGCTCCAACAGGCTTTTGTCGCCATCTTCTGGACAAACAGCAAAATACATTATATCAATCTTTTGACCGTTCACCATTCCTCACTTAAAACCATGGATCAATACAACGTTTAACAATGTTAACATGTAATATATAAATGTTACTGGTTTATCACACTGATGCTCATGTATCTAATCAGTAGGAGATTTCACACAGAACAGAATAGAAACGAATGGTGCACTCAATACTTTTGGTTTTTAACTCAAACACTAAGCCTTAAAAATAGCCCAAAGTCACCTCAAACAGAAGTCTCCATATTGATTGTGTGATTGATTGTGTGGTGTCCGATAAAACAACAAATACACATCACATTTTGATTGTTTTTTTATTCAAAAGCGGACATTAAATACTCATTCAGTCACAGGTGGAAGTTTCAACAGCAGTGTTCATTCATACAGCACAACAGGTTCTGTCACATTCCAGTCTGTGATTATGCGCAGCAAGCGCAAGAGCTCACAAGGAGGCGCACTGACCCACACAGCCAGGCGCTTCAGTCTCTTGTCAGCCCAAAATACGTACCAGGGTCTTTTTCTCACTCAAGACGCTCACAGTGACGCGGCTTTCAGTCAAACTACTTTTAAAATATTCTTATGTTTATGGTCTTTGACACTAGATCAGCTCCGCGCACACAACACAAGTTTAACACATCAGTATATCTAACATAAGGATGATTCTGGACAGATTTTCTTTATTTTTAACAAAGTTTTAGAGAAGAGAGGAGAGAGAGAAAAGATAAGAGACACAAAGTCTGGCGTCTGACCAAAGCCCACAGAGACCATGAGGACAAACACACATCAGTCCTCTGTTCTGTCCTCTGCACTTCTTCATAGACTTTACAGCAGCAGCAGTGACTCCTCTGCTCTCGCATCCTGGTGTGTGTGCATGCAAGGAGAGGCCTCACTTGTCCTTCCTCTTCAGAACACTTATGAAGGCGTCTTTGGGAACGTCCACGTTTCCAATCTGCCTCATCTTCTTCTTTCCTTCGGCCTGTCGCTTCAGCAGCTTCATCTTCCGCGTGATGTCTCCTCCGTACTGAAAACAGGAGAGGTGTCAGGGCCAGTAACCTACACACCGAGCCCTGAGACCTAATCCACAAGCCCAGAACCCAAGCCCAGAGACCTAAACAGAAGATGCTACAGAGACACTGGTTGCTTACACATTTGGCGAGCACGTTCTTGCGGTACGCCTTTATCCTGTAACAGAAACTGCACATTAATGACATCATTGATTGGTAAAAGTGTATGTGTGTGTGTGTGTGTGTGTGTGTCTTACGTCTCTCTTGCGAGCACCTTGCTGCCAACTGCGGCCTGCACTGCAATTTCAAACATCTGCCGGGGGATGGACTCTCTCAGGCGCTCGCACATAGACTTGCCAGCACTGTAGGCACGCGCTCTATGACACAAGAAGGCGCCCCCCTGTGGTCAGTGTTATACCTACAGAAGAGTGTACATTTCATTGATCTAAACCAGGGGTGGGCAATTATTTAAGTGTGTTAGCTGATCTTTTGCATGGGGCTTACTTTGAGAACATACTTATATCATTAAATATAATATTTTTAGTTGTCTTTAGATTTTTACATGGATTGAATCAAAGCTGGACTAAAGTTAATTAGTAAGCTAAGTATTGTGGGCATGTGAATATCTTTGATGATTTATTATTAGGTTTGTCATGCCTCATGAAGTTGCAAACCTTTATAAAGTATTGACTCCCATTCATTTAAAAAGGGAGAGACGGTATGAAGTTTGGGGATGGGAAAAGGTCCATGGGCCACATAGAAACGTGAAAAAGAATATATGGTCCCTGGGTCGCACGTTGCCCAGGTCTTATCTAAACCCATGTCCTTAAAGAGTCAAGCTCTACTTCTTTTTTCAGTCCCTCCAAAACGCTCGGAACTCTGCCCGTTTACACCATATCACTGATTTATTTATCCTTAAAGCAAAAATACCTGAGCAACAATGTTTAATAATTCACTGAAAATGGTTGAACTAATTACAAGATAGGCCGTGGTCAAAGCACAGGCCGGGGCAAGGAGTCAGGGAAGAAGTTGGTAAATCGTGGGGAGGAGTCAGGAGAACGGGCAGGGCATAAAAGACCTGTGTACGATGGTGGTCAGCTCCTCCACCGGGCGCCCGTTCAAGAGGATCTCCATACGGACGAGGTCTGCAGCTTCATAACCCACGTTCTCATAATCGAAACTGGGACCAGAGAAATATGAACAACATAAAGGATTAAAGCAGGGGTTCATAATTTTCAGACCAATACCAATAGAACTCTGTAATAAACTCATGTTTCTAGTTCCTGGCTCAAAAAGAGTTCCCGTCCTTGGTCCCGTCCTTGGTCCCGTCCTTGGTCCCGTCCTTGGTCCCGTCCTTGGTCCCGTCCTTGGTCCCGTCCTTGGTCCCGTCCTTGGTCCCGTCCTTGGTCCCGTCCTTGGTCCCGTCCTTGGTCCCGTCCTTGGTCCCGTCCTTGGTCCCGTCCTTGGTCCCGTCCTTGGTCCCGTCCTTGGTCCCGTCCTTGGTCCCGTCCTTGGTCCCGTCCTTGGTCCCGTCCTTGGTCCCGTCCTTGGTCCCGTCCTTGGTCCCGTCCTTGGTCCCGTCCTTGGTCCCGTCCTTGGTCCCGTCCTTGGTCCCGTCCTTGGTCCCGTCCTTGGTCCCGTCCTTGGTCCCGTCCTTGGTCCCGTCCTTGGTCCCGTCCTTGGTCCCGTCCTTGGTCCCGTCCTTGGTCCCGTCCTTGGTCCCGTCCTTGGTCCCGTCCTTGGTCCCGTCCTTGGTCCCGTCCTTGGTCCCGTCCTTGGTCCCGTCCTTGGTCCCGTCCTTGGTCCCGTCCTTGGTCCGTCCTTGGTCCCGTCCTTGGTCCCGTCCTTGGTCCCGTCCTTGGTCCCGTCCTTGGTCCCGTCCTTGGTCCCGTCCTTGGTCCCGTCCTTGGTCCCGTCCTTGGTCCCGTCCTTGGTCCCCTGTCCTCTTGGTCCCGTCCTTGGTCCCGTCCTTGGTCCCGTCCTTGGTCCCGTCCTTGGTCCCGTCCTTGGTCCCGTCCTTGGTCCCGTCCTTGGTCCCGTCCTTGGTCCCGTCCTTGGTCCCGTCCTTGGTCCCGTCCTTGGTCCCGTCCTTGGTCCCGTCCTTGGTCCCGTCCTTGGTCCCGTCCTTGGTCCCGTCCTTGGTCCCGTCCTTGGTCCCGTCCTTGGTCCCGTCCTTGGTCCCGTCCTTGGTCCCGTCCTTGGTCCCGTCCTTGGTCCCGTCCTTGGTCCTTGGTCCCGTCCTTGGTCCCGTCCTTGGTCCCGTCCTTGGTCCCGTCCTTGGTCCCGTCCTTGGTCCCGTCCTTGGTCCCGTCCTTGGTCCCGTCCTTGATCAGCCCTCAGCCCAAATAGTCAAGTAGCAACTCACACAGGGCTCTTTCTTAGACAAAAGATGAAGACAGCATGTCTTGTGGTCTGATTTGTTCACTTTCTGTTCAAACTAAATGTTAAGTTACGTACCCCAGCTTTAAACATGTGTTCTTAATGCCGGCTTTATCCCTCACCTGGCGTATCCCGAGGACAGCGACTTCAGCAGGTCATAGAAGTCCACCACAATCTCGTTGAGTGGAAACTCGTACTTCATCATGACACGCTGATCGTCCAGGTATAGCAGGCTCTTCTGGACTCCTCTGCGGCTCTGAAGGGGGAGGAGGGGGAGGAGGAGAGGAGAGAGAAGAAGAGTGAACAGAAGGAGAGGGGAGGAGCGGAGGAAAGGGGGAGAGAGGAAGGGGGAAGAAAAGGAAGGAAGAGTAGAGGATGTGGGAGAAGAGGAGAGGGGAGGAAGGAGAGGGGAGGAAGGAGAGGGGAGGAAGAAGAGGGGAGGAAGGAGAGGGGGGGAAAGGATAGAGAGGAGAGCGCATAAGACACAGACGGACTGTCTCTGACTGCATCAGAGAGAGACAATAGCTATATATTAATCTGGACATTTTAACCAAGAGTCCACACCGTTCACTGGACTCAGGTGAGTCCAGTTATAACCTGAAAATTTGAGGAAATGGGTGGAGTCTGGTGTGCTCCTGCTCAGGTTGGAAATAAAACCTGCAGCCACAACAGCCCTTAGAGGACTGGTTTGACAGCACTGATTTACACAGATCCAGGTATCTGATACAACACACTCCACCTGCTGCTTCTGATTATTTGCCAAACCGGAGTTTGAATCAAAAAAATTGCAGCAACACGCAGAGGCACGCTCATGTATTTATGTTCGGGTCCAGGTCCAAGTACGTCTCATGGTCCAAGTTGAGGTTCGTCTATGGGTCCGGGTCCGGGTCCTGGTCTGGGTTCATCTCTGGGTTTAAGTCCAGGTTCGGGTCCAGGGTCCAAGTCTTACCGCGCACAGACTAAGAATCTTCCCGGTGTACAGCTCCGGAGCTAAGATGGTCCCCAGAACCATGGGCTCCAGATACTCTGAGACCAATGAGCGATCAGGGAACTGTGCCGGGTTCACGATGGTGATCTCCTCTGCGCCATGCTCCTGAGATTAGATAGAGTTAGACCTACTTTAGACCAAATTTTGTCCTGGTCCGGTCCTCACCTTGATGGCCTTGCTGGAGGACAGGATGGCCTTGTATGGCACGGTTGGTGCTGTGACGATGACAGAGGCATTGAACTCCTGCTCCAGACGTTGATTGAACACCTCCATGTGAAGGAGTCCCAGGAACCCCAGTCTGAGAAACATTGATACTGAGATACTGCATGTATACGGAGACATAGTGAGACCTGCCTCAGCCTGCTCCCAGGGCCAGTCTCACCTCCACCCTGCTCCCAGGGCCATGCTGCTGTCTCTCTGCACGGAGACGCTGGAGTCGTTCAGAGTCAGTCTCTCGATGGCGCTGCGGAGTGCCGTGTACTCTGACTGATCCATGGGGAACATCCCTGAGGAAGATCACAACTTTCTCTACAGTACCCCAAGTGGTCACACCACAAAGGTTTTCATCTCGACTTTAGATAAATGCAACCAACATATAATACTAGCGGTCGTATGATGTAATATGCAATATTGTTGGAGTGACCAGAAAGACGGACCAGAGAGACGGACCAGAGAGAGCTACAACAAATGTCTTTTGACTTTAAATAAACAAAACTGTAAGTTATATGATGTTGCTGGAGTATATACGCGGCGCATGAGATGCACACTGAAAGGACAAAGGACGATGCTGCAAATAAAAATCTGCAACACAGCTAAAGGTGAACTGTGTTATAGTGAGGGACAAGTGTGCCATCAATTCCTGAAGCTGCTCAGGCCCTGCAGCTGCTCAGGCCCTGCAGCTGCTCAGGCCCTGCAGCTGCTCAGGCCCTGCAGCTGCTCAGGCCCTGCAGCTGCTCAGGCCCTGCAGCTGCTCAGGCCCTGCAGCTGCTCAGACCCTTACTCTGAGGTTGGTGTTTGTGCGGTTGGTGTTTGTGCGGTTGGTGTTTGTGCGGTTGGTGTCTCACCTGCGAACACCATGGGTTTCGCTCGTTTAAAGCCGGGTAACGGCTCCACTGGTCGGTCCTGGTGGAACAGAGTGTCTCCGATCTGTGCCTCCTTCACCTCCTTCATCCCAGCAATTATGTACCCCACCTGCCCAGCACACCTGATAAAATAGTTCAAGAGAATTGTAAAAAGTAGATAGCTCTTGACTCTGGCCCTGCTCTCTCTGGTCACTCACAGTTTCCCAGTGGGCTGCTCTCCTGGTCTCAATATCCCCACCTCCTGGACCTCGTAGCTCTTTTTCAGATGTGCCGACACCACTCGGTCTCCCTTCTTGACACTGCCGCCACAGAGGGCCACATTGGCAACCACGCCACGGTAATGGTCGAAATTAGAGTCGAAGACCAGAGCACGGAGCGGGTCTGAGGGGCTGACCGCAGGACTGAGGGAAAAGACAGAGTTAGGACAGCATCAGAACCATCCACCTCTCCAAGGGTCTGGAGAGAGGCCAAATACTGAATTTACTTCATAGGCAGTTCATGTGACATCCCAGCCTCCAAAGAGTGATAGTTTCGCAATGTGGTGGAGCACTGCTGAAAAATCTATCCTGGTATTTATGGGAAGTGTCAAATCTCTCCTCCCTCTCCTCTCCACCCCATATCTCAATATACGATATGTATCTCAATATATTTACAACATAAATAACCCTCCAAAAACTGGTGCAAAAACAAATTTGACAATTTCCAACGCCTGTTTCATTGAACCTCAAAGAGAAGTCAGTTCAAGTTGGAACAAAGTGCTTTTGTCATTTCCGTTTTAATTTCCAGTTTACAAAAATAATAAATAACAAAATAATAAAAAATAAATTAAGAAATTAAATGTATTGCCGTCTCTTCATTCAAAAATTAAAAATTTAACTCAAGATTGCATAAAGGAACGACGTGCTCCTGCAACATTAAAGATACAAAAAATAATAATCCCCGATTACATTAATTGTAAGTAACCTGTTCCTTGCTCTCCCTCTCTCAGAAGTGTACAGTCCTGGGAGTTCTTGTATCGTAAAGTAATGCCTAAACTCGGTAATATGTATTGGTGTTTTTTTTCTAGCATGCATATAAAGTTTACAGTCTCTGGTATAAAGCCACATTGTCCACCGCTGTAGGAAATGCCATGGACTCGCTACACCACGTGCGCTTTGGTCATGTTCTATATGACCGTGCGTGACGGGAGTCCGCATCCTCCGTGGCCTCAGCATTCTGGGGCAGCTGCAGCCACTTTGGACAGCAGTTCCCACGTCCAGAGGCCGTGAGCCGCTTTGACAACATGGGAGCACGCAACCATAACATGGCAATGTACCCAAGACACGCACAGGACCATACTCTGCTTGTTGTGTACGTGTCTTTGCGTAACCAGTGGATACAATAAATACAGCGCCGCAAGAAACAGTCCGCGTCTCCCCCGTGTCTCCTCCCGAAGCGCACCTACATTTTCTTGTTGCATTAACAGTTCATGTTGGATGTGCTCAAAAGTAAAATGTAGTGAACAAATCAAACAGATTTAATGACAGCCATTGGCTGACTTTATACATTTCAGACTTGAAATGTCCTTTTCTCATCCCTGTAACAAACAATAGTTATGGTCTGTACTCCCTCACTCTGTAGTGACATGTTTATTACTCTCAAAGTACAATGGTCTGCCATTGCCTTTTATTTTAATTGTTGAAACCGCAAACATCCTGATCCTCTACAATATGTGCTTCCAAATACTATATAAATAACCGTTAAAAAAATGTTTTGTTTTTTTAAATGGCCAGGCCGTCAAGAAAACAATAATGCCCGGGTTGTATTTTGGTCCCAGTCCAGCCCTGCCTGTGTGTGTTAATGACCAGAAAGTAATGTCCGTGTTTATACTTTACTTTTATTTCCTTAAAGTATGTACATCACAAATGACAAAATGAGACTGATAAATAGTCTAATGTCAAATGTTTGGTTTTGCTGCTAATTTATAGTTCAAAGTTAATTATTTCGCTAGTTTATTATTAGTTACATCTATCAAGCATTTGACCACCTGCCGCTGCGTCTTGCACCAAAATTAAAAGGGCACGTCTGTAACTTTTCGGGACCACCCAAATAAGTGCTGTATTTTGCTAATATTGCATTTTAGACCCAATTTATATTTTGTTTTGTAGCTATGGACAGTTACTCATTTTATATTTGTCAGTTCTTTATTGCAGACCATACACACATGATTATAACCTGTAAATACACCACGACTAAAAAATATCCCTTCACTGGACCCTGATTCTCTGACAGGAATCTTGCGAAACTGTTGCCGCCTCAAACCAGGCTGTGTTGTTTTCCTTAATTCATTAGGCTGTAATTTGCACTGATAGACAATAAATACATTCAATTATTCAACATTAATTAAAGGAACTTTGTCAAATTTACATTTATATGTGTTTCACGTGTAATATCAGTGTATTTGGCCCGTGGCCCACTGGCAAATTTTCATTTTGGTCCTTGGAAACAAAATGTTGGGACACCCCTGCTCATGGATCCATTATAATACCTGGATAGGGTATTACTAGCTTGGAGCTGAAAGACCCATGTGCTCAAGGGATTCTCGCGGTACTGAAGACTAAACGAGATTAAATTCACTTGGGCTACCCAGACATTTTCTCCATAGAACTCAATGTAAACTAAAACAGCTCGACCTCAGCTGACAGAGAACGTACAGCTTTCATAAAGTTCAGATTTTGTGGGGATTTCAGTGTCCCTTGTCAGCCTGAACTTTTTTTCTTCTTAAATCCTTCACTTTACTACCACAAACTCTTCTTGTTTAGCTCTCGCTCTAATTCCGGTTCTACCGCTGCTCTGATCAGCAGCTCTGATTGGTTAAAGCGTTGCCGAGCCCATCTGTGCACATGCATGAGAGCCACACACGCATATTTGGCACAACGCATTATGGGAGATCATATACTGCGCAGAACCAGGAGGACCAAACAATGCCCAAATATGGCCGAGTTCCGCTAATCTTTTGGTCCCCATGAGCACAAGCCACTGATTTGAATAAGATGCCATCTTGGATCACCGGGGCTTTCCCCTGCTCTATTCCCTCCACCTCTCTCTTCTCTCTCTCTCTCTACATAACTATGGTCTCATTACTTGTCGAGAAGTGGTAAAAATATTCAAAAACATATGCATAAGTTTGAAAAGACTCACGGAGGAATCCTCTCCACCACCGCCTCCAGAACAGACTCCACGTTTGTGCCGAGCTTTGCAGAAATCTGGAAAAAACACAAAACCACAAAGACTCACTTGAAAGAGAGACAAGAGCGGGAGACCAGAGCGAGAGAAACCAGAGAAAACATAGAAAGAGATCAGAGTGAGAGAGGAGAAACCAGGGCGAAACCTGAGAGAGATCTGAGAGAGAGAGACCAGAGAGAGACCAGAGAGAGACCAGAGAGAGACCAGAGAGAGACCAGAGAGAGACCAGAGAGAGACCAGAGAGAGACCAGAGAGAGACCAGAGAGAGACCAGAGAGAGACCAGAGAGAGACCAGTGAGAGACCAGAGAGAGACCAGAGAGAGACCAGTGAGAGACCAGAGAGAGACCAGAGAGAGACCAGTGAGAGACCAGTGAGAGAACAGTGGGAGTTCTGCTGTGTTGCATTTGTTTTTGTTCCAAATCATCTCGTCTCTGTGTTGGATCTAGTCTCACCCTGATGCACTCGTCCTGTGGGATGTCCAACACTTTCTGGATCTGCGCCTCTACTCGCTCAGGATTAGCGTTTTTCAGGTCAATCTGCAGGTGGAAAACACAACCACACGTTTAAAGTGTTTAAATCTGGGGTACAAAACTTTTGTCTCATAAATAACACATGTTTAAAGCTGAGGTTTGTAACACTAGTCTCAAGAATCACACATATTCAGGGATGGGGTAGTTTTAGTCTCATAAAGAGCATGTAGTTGGAACAGACTGTAAAGGCATAATGCGAACAAACCATCCCACAACATAGGGTCTTCATCTTTTGTGTAACAGCAAGCCCTGTGTGTCACTATTTGACTCTTTGGGCTGCTTCGACTGTTGTGGTCTGAAAGTCACGTGCCTCAACTTTAAATAATTGCAGTTTTATTAAACAATAGGTTCATTTAGTGTTGTGGACCTTGTTGATGACTGGGATGATGGTGAGCTGGGCTTCAAACGCAAGGTAGAAGTTTGCCACAGTCTGAGCCTGGATCCCCTGCAAGAAAAACATTTTTCAGGAGAGGACTAGTGTAACACTCAGAGAAAGACATTAGAAGACCATCTTAACATCATGTTTGCGTTGTAATGAGAATATATCAAAGAACAAAAAGAGTCATGAGGAAATTGGCTGCTGACCCCAGTTTGAAGAGAAACAGTGTGATTGCAGTTATTCTGGAGCGGATTCATCTCCAAACTTCTACTGCTGAATTTTGTAGCAACACGAGGAACAATGAAGCGCAAAACACAGTGTGGGACATTAGTTCAGCTCCAGCGAACTCCAGCCTTTGACGACGTGTGACGTGATCGATATGAACTCTGAGCCAAAGAGCACATTTATTTAATATATTTCTACAATCGCATGAACGCAACAAAAGGAAAGTTAAACTTAAAGCACCATATATATGGTGCGTCATTCTCTTGCAAACACACATTTAATAATCATGAATGCATATTATTTATTTGCAGCCTATATCTAGTCATTTTGATAGGAAAGACAGGAGAGAACCAGCATAACACTAGAAGAAAAACAAGAGGACCTGCATAAGACTAGAAGTCAACCCACTTCCTAGTAGCTGTGATTGGACAGAGCACCTCTTCCACTGGTAGGGCTGGGCGATATGGCTGAAAACTATATCACGATATAAGTCATTCATATCGGTCGATAACGATATATATTGAGTTTTTTTTTTTTTAACCTAAATAAATATATTTGTTGTGTGGGCTAACCAACCTTAGCAGCCTTGTTTACAGTCACGGGGCGATGAGGCTGGAGGAATATGTTCACACTGTGTCCATGGTTGTTAGTCCTGGTTTAATCCTGGTTTTTTATTCCTGGTTTAGCTCCTGGTTTAGCTGTTTGAGGGTCTTGTGTCCCCGTGACCGGGGACACAAGACGGCTCTGTGCCGCACATGCTTCCCGAGGAAAAAGTTAATCTCTTGCTTTCGCCGAATACATCGCGTCTGTCCACTGCCTCTGCCGCCGCACATGTTATTCCGCGCAAGGACGTGCATAACCATTGACACGGCATTGAAACACGAGCTATAGATCCATGGACGCTACGCATGCTGCGGTTGTTGTTGTTTTTGCATTTCCCACAAAGTTTTGCGGTTCCTGCTCGGCTGTTATTGGTCGAGAAGCCTCTGCCTACATCCCCCACAATGCCATGCGCTTATGAGTCGGCTTTACTTCCGGTGTTTTCTTCCTGTTTTTCCTGACGGAGTTAAGTTAAACTATCGAACATTCTATCGACCCCATTCTCTATTGATATCGAACACATGTCTATTGCGATATATATCGTTATCGTTTTATCGCCCAGCCCTATCCACTGGTTTTACCTGATTGGCATCAACGATGAGCAGCACTCCCTGGCAGGCCGAGAGAGAGCGGGACACCTCATAACTGAAGTCCACGTGTCCCTAGGGAGCAGAAGAGAGCATACAGGTGACCACAGAGGGAGAGAGAGACCAGAGAGAGACGACAGGTAGGCCCCAGAAAGACCAGAGAAGGACCAGAGAGAGAACAAAGAGAGACACGTCACACCACCACTTGTCACCTCCGCCTACCGCCAAAACATGTCAGGTAATTAATCAGTACTAGCTTTCTTTACTGTCTTATTGAAAGAACCTTCTCAGCCTTAGATCAGAGAAACACCAGAGAGATAGCAGAGAGATCCCAGCAAGGTCTCACAAAGATCCCACAGAAATCCCAGAGAGTGCCCAGGGGGTAATAATAATGATAATAATAATAATGTATTGGTTTTATTCTCTATTATTCTTTCACTCCATACATGGTGGTGATAAACTACTCCTGAGTGGTGGGAGACCTCCCAGAGGTCTCCCACCACAGTACTAACCAGGCCCTGCCCTACATAGCTTCAGGGGTCTGATCTGGCTTTCACATGCAAATGTGCCTGGAGAGCCCAGAGAGAGCTCAGAGAGGGCCGAGAGAGAGAGAGACCAGAGAGGGAGACCAGAGAGAGAGACCAGAGAGAGAGACCAGAGAGAGAGACCAGAGAGAGACCAGAGTGCAGGGATTGTCTAAAAAGTGACGAGACACAGCTCTTCCTGGAGGCCGTATGGGGCATTACCGGTGTGTCGATGAGGTTGAGCAGGTACGGCGTCCCCTTGTGGTGGTAGAACAGAGTCGCAGTCTGGGCTTTAACTGTGATGCCGCGCTCTCGCTCCACCTGCAGCTGATCCAAGACCTGACGGTTCTTCTCCCTCGCTGAAATTGCTCCTGAAAATATGGACTGGTTTACTCCCGCTTAAGACCCGCATTAGACCTACTCCTGGTTCAGACCTGTGAGCTCCAGCAGTCTGTCAGCTAAAGTGCTCTTCCCGTGATCAATGTGAGCTATGATGCAGAAGTTTCTGATATTCTCCACAGGAAACAAGGACAAGTCCACAGCGTCCTGCAAAGAAACACACAGACACACAAAAACAGAGTATAAACGCATAATGTAAACACACACGCGCACACAGCATAAAAAAGAGCTCTCCATGTTGGACATGAGTGTTTAGATGGAGGGCCGTGTCTTGGGAGATTTGCAGTTGTGTCAGGCCCTCTGGTGTGCTTCTCGGCCTGCAGTGGTGTCCTGCCGTCTCCATTTGTGAATAATGGATTGAACTGTGCTTTGAGAGAAACTACTTCATCCCTGACCTCTGACCTCTCGGATGTGCTCCTTGACCTTCATGATGCAGATTAGTGACCACGGCTCTGACACCCTCACAGAAGAACAATATACTGAGAGCAGGACAAGACTTTAATGCAGAGAATTGTGTGTGTGACTTTATCCGTTATGTTCATGTACAGTACCTTGCTCGTGTGAGAGCTCGTGCGCTGACAGCTCGTATTCTTCATCCATCGGTGACGGAAGACGGTGCAGCTCCAGCTCGATCCGGGAACTCTTGAACGTTTGCTGCATTTAAACCGAAAGAACCGCGATAAAAACACAGGAATACTCATGTCTGACGCGTGGGCATGTAGTCTACGGTCTGACAGCTTTGATTCCTAACGATGCTAATGCTAATGCTAAAAACAATAGGGCAAACTGCTTCAGCGGCACCAGCTGACGCAAACCAGACGCAAACACTAAATTAACCCAACATTCCGTCCATGTCCGTCATTTACGAGCAGAGTTGTTCGTTGTTAATCACGTGTATTGTTGAGTTTGAGGCTGTTTGAGGGGGTGAAAGGTGAGTAGGAAAAAGTGTGCCTCCACAGAGCGCCGCCATGTTGGACCGTGCTGTCACCACCGCGGGGATTCTGGGAAATGTAGTTTTGATGTATCAAGCGAGAGATTTGTCGCAATTTAAAGCTGGGGTAAATACATTTAGAACCACATGCTGTAATAAAACCTATTGCATGTGTTTCAGGCTCTAAAACAGTTTACTTCTATCACTAGTATCACAAACCATGTATTTCTGGCCTCTGTCACATCTTTAGATCAGCTTTGAAGTGAAACCACCCTCACTCAGCCAATCAGCTTTAAATAATATTGCATAGAGATAAGCTACCCGTACAGCTAACTATATGTGCCTGTTTGTGAGATAGGAATGATAAAGTGCCCATTATAATCATATGTTTATGTGTATCTATTATCTAACCCTTTTATAATGGGTTTGTAAACACACACACTCACACAGACAGACAGACACCCAAACCTGTACTCAGACAGACCCTCTAAATGTTCAATACAAAGACCATTCATCGACTCTTCTTGTCTGCCTTGTCTTGTCTGCCTTCTGACTGAATATTATTGTGGCTCAAGTAGTTCTGAGCCACAATAATACAAATTCTGGCTCCAGGACAGTAACAGCTTTAACACCAAACCAAGACCTATACAGTCCTTACAGTCTGTTATCTACCCTACAGTCCTGATGTATTGTCCATGACATACTTATTTCAAGGTACAAGTTACATTTAAGGAACACATTAATATTCTTTAAGCCACACTGTACTATTTGTGCGTCTGTCAAACGTGCAAAACGGCAGTCTGTTTCCATGACGACGCAGCTTCAGCACCATCAAAAGATCATGAGTTTCTGACGTCTGCAAACGAAGCACCACTGAACATGACATGTTTTATGATATAACTAATTCTACTACTACTACTACAACCCAAACTGCTGCTGCTGTCATTATTTATTTGTATAGTGCAGCCGGACAAAGTGACTCGGAAGCCGTTTGGTATAAAGACTGGAATGATATGTTTAATAAATTGTGCATCTGTTTCTGGAATGTTCAAGACACAAACACGTTAGAAAAACCAGCAAACGTCAACAAAGGGTGTGGCCACAAGACTTAGCCGACCAATCAGACACAGTGGGCATTAAAGGGGACATCTGTAAGTTTGTGTACAGTCTCTACAAATCTGGTCCGGACGACACAGGACTTATAGGCGTTCACTTTAATGCTGTAATAAAGGAACCGGAGGGGGCGTGGTCTAGGTGCACAGGAGTGGGCGTGGCCAAGGCCCTCAGTGGAACGGGAAACGTAAACGCCCGATTTCGTGATCCATGGCGCACAAAACCACGTGGCACCAAACAGTGCAACCAAAACATGTGACCAGTAGCAGTGGCTGTGTCTAAACAGAAAGGGCATGGTCAGAACGGGAGGCAGGGCTGAGGCAGTGGGGCTAGAGACAAAAGGGGAAGTTTGGTCTTTTTGTAAACAAGACATTTGAAGAACCCAGTTGAAAACCGGATAAAAACTAGGTCTGAATCAGGACTGAACCAGGTCAGAACCAAGACTAAACCAAGCCTGAATCAGGTATTAACCAGGTCTAAAACTGGACTGACCCAGGAGTGAACCAGGTCTGGACCAAGTCTAAAACTGGACTGAACCAAGTCCAAACCAGGTCTAAAACTGGACTGAACCAGGTCTTTACCCGGTGTAAACCAGTACAGAAACCAGGTTGAAATCAGGGCTGAACCAGGTCTAAACCTGGTCTGATCCGAGTCCAAACCAGGTGGAAACGAGGTCTCGAATGGACAGTGGTTCTTAATCAGCCTGAGTTGAAGATGACGTGTGTTTCACAGTGGGACGAGCAGAGGCACCACGTATGGCTTCAGGACACAGTGAGGACAGCTACGTCTCGAAATCCCCAAAACAACTCCATAAAAGTGAGACACCCCCAAAAAAAACACATGAACAGAGAGACCCCCCAAAAGAACAAGAGAAAAGAGAGAGACCGCCCAAATAACACGAGAAAAGTGAGAACAATCTAATTAAATCATCAGCTTCAATCACAGTATGTGAGGAGACAACACAGGGACGTGAGACCAGAGAGACCAGAAAGAGACCAGGGAGAGACCAGTCAGAGACCAGAGAGTGAGACCAAAAAGACACCACAAAGAAATGAGAGTTAAAGAGACTCTGTTTGCAGCATTTAGGCCAAGTTTCCCTCGTCCCTGGTCTGGTCCATTCCAGTCCAGTCTGGTCCCTGGTCTGGTCTGGTCCGGCCTGGTCCCTGGTCTGGTCTGTTCGCAGCATTAAGGCCTAGTTTTCTTTTACAAAGTGTTTTGCTGGAGACGCACAATAACAACCCCGAACCTCAGAACCAGAAGTAATAATAATAATAATTATAAGCATAATCATAATAATACACAATATATTATACATGTGTTTTTGCTGCGGCTTGGACAGAAAAAAAGTCTTTTGGAAAATCAGGACGTGACAATTCACCCGAACATAAATATACAAATAAATATACAAATAAATATACAAATAAATATACAATAAAACACCATCTTAACAAGAACACAGAGAGAATCAGAAATCAGGCTTTTTTCTGTACAGTAAAGAGCCGACCTGCGCGCGACCAGAGTTAGACCAGAGAGGGGCCGAGAGAGGCCAGAGAGGGACATGGGAGAGACCAGACAGAAACCAGAGACAGACGGGAGAGGGAGAGAGACCAAAGAGTGAGACCAGAGAGGGAGACCAGCGAGTGAGACCAGACAGTGAGACCAGAGAGGGAGACCAGAGAGAGAGCAGAGAGACTTCTCGCGGTCTCAAAGGAAAGAGAACCGCTCTGATGCTACAAACTCCCCACAGTGCGTAAACAGGGCACGCAGGCCGCTATCTGACTTCACAATAATTATGTCACGATATGAAACCAGAGATAGAAATATGGTTCAGTACACACATTTACAAAAACCTGTTCAAAGTGTAGAAAACACAGCTCCGAGGACACAGTTCTCCCCAGAGAAACGCGCTCAGGCCTCGGACCTCAGGAGCTCCGTGGAGCGCAGGGCAAGACCCCATAGTTTCTCAGATATCCCGGAGATTTCTATGGGATAAACTGCAACAAATGTGGCAATAAATTCTTGAATCAAGTGGTCTTCATCTTGTTCTTTTTGACCGTCTTAAAACAAGATTTGTCTCTCCATCTAAAGGGAGAATCTTCTTACATCTTTTTAGAATTAGTTACGCCTTAAGTCCCACTTAGCCCTGCCCCTTAGCTCCGCCCTTGTGAGGAAGTTGCAATTATATATGTTTTCCTTGAGCAAAAATGGCTGTGCATTTCAGGTGAATCCTGCACATGTCACGGAAAAGAGCAATACCGAGGGACCGAGAAGCGATTGTAGTCAGAGGACTGAGGAGAGCGCAATGGCAGGGTTCCACAGGCAAATCTGGTTTTAAGACTTGAAATGGGCGCAAATTCAGGAAATTTTTTTACTATTTTTTTCCCTATTTATCAATGTATTTCTTTGTGATTTTCTGGCAGGGTTTTTCCAATGATATTCCAGGGATTTGTAAGTGATTCATGGCAGTGTTTGTACATCCCCGTTACCACTACTCTACTCTACTCTACCCTACATTTCCACCAGCCCTGTTTAACCTGGTACCAGGTCCTTCTTTAGTCCCTCTTGGTCCTGGTTTTATTCAGGCCTAAAGTGTTCTAACTGACAGTGAGTGGCCAGAGTGCTGCTGGCCAATCACTGTCATGGTTAACAAGGAATTACCACAGATGCTGGTTTGTTGTGGGTGAGGTTGCTTAAGAGCAGATACTTAAGTGTAATGGAAACACAATCAAGTAGAGTTGAGCCAAGTAGAGTAGAGCCAAGTCAGGCTGTTGGAAACAGACCTTTTGACCTCCTATTTTTTGCTGTGTATTCTAGCAGCTTTTGAGTGATTTTCCGAGGATTTCTTTGTTGATTATCTGGCAGTGATTTTCCGCTATTGTATTTTCATGACATCCCGGCGGTTTCTGAGTGATTTTTGCCTTGGAGATTTTGGTGATTTTTCAGCAATTTTATTTCCCCGGCTTCTTTGTGATATTGTACGGGATTTTCCCGTTAGTGGTACTTTCTGTTTACGCCGAAGGAACCATGTCCTTGATCACTGGCTCGCGGTTCAGGTACGTGGCCCAGTACACCAGGTTGAAGCTGCCAAACAACACAGGGAACAGGATGCGCGACATACGGTCAATCTTGCTGACGCTGTTGAAGCTCTTCTTGGCCTCGGGGCCCTTGGGTTTGGAGGGGTCTGTGAGGGAGCATGTGGAGTTGGTGGCGCCCCCCTTGGCTATAGTGGGGAGCGAGCCCGACGGGTCTTTGCCCAGAGCTGGTGCGTAGTTGGCCACGGCGACGGCATACGCGTTGTTCTTCTTCATAACGGACGCACGCTCCTTTTTCTGTCGGAGGGAATAGAGGAAAGGGTCAGGGGATGTAGAGTAGAGTAGAGCAGAGTATAGTAGAGTAGGCCCGGCTCAATCTTTGTGGATGGGACCGGGCTCTAAAGCCGTGTTTGGGACCCGGTTTGGGAACTACATCGCTAGAGTCTGGTTTACTCGTTTAAGTGTGGAGTGTGGAAAAGATGTTCTCACCTTGTCAATGACCACGCTCTTGCCGTCCCAGGCCCAGCCGCGTTTGGTGAAGTAGTTGACGGTTGCGAACTCAATGAGCGCCGAGAACACAAAGGCATAACACACAGCAATGAACCAGTCCATGGCTGTGGCATACGCAACTTTGGGGAGCGAGTTACGGGCCGAGATTGAGAGAGTGGTCATGGTGAGGACTGTGGTAACACCTGGACAAGACAAGTACATACAGATTGTTAAGAGGAGGACAAAAGAACCCAGAGAGAGACCAAAGAAGGACCAGAGAGAGACAAGAGAAAGCAGAAAGTGAGAAAAGGGAGTAACCAGAGAAAGAGACCAGAGAGAGACCAGCGAGAGATCAGAAAGAGAGAGAGAACTGAGAGAGACCAGAGAGAGACATGATAGAGCCCGGGAGAGACCAGAGAAAAAGACCATAGATGGACACTCTCTCCACTTTCATTCTCCTCTACTAGGCTCTAAAGTAGGGCTGGCCGATAAAATGATAACGATATATATTGCGATAGATACGTGTTCGATAGCAATAGCAAACGGGGTCGATAGAACTTAGATAGTTTAACTTCACTCCGTTGGAAAAACAGGAAGAAAACACAGGAAGAAAACACAGGAAGTAAAGCCGAGTCAGAAGCGCGCGGCATTCTGGGGGTACGTAGGCAGAGGCTTCTCGACCAATCACAGCCAAGCAGGAACCGCAAAACTTTCTGGGAAATGCAAAAACACCAACAACCGCACCATGCGTAGCGTCCATGGATCTATAGCTTGTGTTTCAATGCCGTGTCAATGGTTATGCACGTCCGTGCGCCGAATAACATGTGCGGCAGCAGAGGCAGTGGACAGACCCGATGTATTCGGCGAAAGCAAGAGATTAACTTTTTCCTCGGGAAGCATGTGCGGCACAGAGAGAGCCGCACGGTCACGGGGACACAAAACCCTCAAAAACAGCTAAACCAGGAGCACAGTGTGAACATATTCCTTCAGCCTCATTCCCCCGTGACTGTAAACAAGGTTGCTAAGGTTTGTTAGCCCACACGACAAATGTATTTATTTAGGTTAAAAAAAAAACAATCAACATATTTCGTTATATGACTTATATCGTGATATAGTTTTCAGCCATATCGCCCAGTCCTACTCTAAAGCCTCTTCTTGAGTGCTTGTAATGGGTTGTATATTATGTAGTTGACAGTTGGAAACTCACCAAACACGGTCCTGGCCGGCACAGACTCACGGTTTAGCCAAAAGGAGACCTGGGACAGAATCACGGTCATGATGCAGGGCAGATACGTCTGGATCACGAAGTACCCAATCTTCCTCTTCAGGTGGAAGTGTGCCGTCATGACTGTGTACTCACCTGCAGTTGGCAATACAGAGAGGTTAAAGACATGTGAGAGACCAGAGATAGACCAGAGAGGGACCAGAGAGGGATCAGAGAGACACCAGAGAGAGAGACCAGAGAGATACTCCTTTATGTGTTCTTTAGGATAATAGCTGCATTCTTTGTGGTTTGATACTTTGACCCTGAACATTTCAATTTGACTGTCAATAATTGCACAGACCTGTTTTGTACTTAATAAATTGTGTCACATTCTAAAACATGAACAGATCGTGTGTCAGCGACAAATGCTGAAATATGAGTTCATTAAAGTCTTTGACCGGTTCTCCTGTTGCCGTGGTAACGCTCCCTTCATACCCTCAGACCATGAGAGCCAGCAAGTCAACATTTTGAATCATTCATCTAGACAACAGTGTTCGAGATAGGAGAAGAGAGGAGGGAGAGAAAGGAAAGGGGAGAAGAGAGGAGAGAGGAAGGAGGAGAGAAAAGAGAGGACAGGAGACGAGGAAAGAGAGGGGAAGGAAGAGAGAGGAAAGAAAAGAGGGGGGAGGATAGGAGAGGCGACGAGGAAGGAGGGAAGAGGAGAGACAGGATTCCCACACAGACACAGACGGGACATATCTGGCAACCTGATTGAAAATACCAGCTGATTAAGAAGAACCTCCTTCAAATACAACACACTGAAAACTCTCCTACCTGCTCAACTAATTTCCTCTTAGAATAATCCCCTGATTTCCTCTCCCTCACAGACGGAGGGATACAGGTGTAAGGGCGCATGTGGAAAGACCTGGGCATAAGACATCTTACTTATCTCCTAGGACCTCTTGCTCCCCCTCCAGTAGCCCCAGAATATAGGACAGGCTCTCAGAAGCCAGAGCGTAGAGAGGGGAGAAGACACACGCCGAGTGCATTTGACTGCTTAAGTGTTTTTTATGTGTTAGTGTGAGCCAGTTTGGGGAAGTGTTGGCGGAGAGAAATTTTGTGCTGTTTTTAGTGTGTTTCAGCGTTAATTATTCTGTGCACGCCTGGTGACCTATCACCCAGTTCAGTAGAAGCGCAGAGCCGACAGTGACAGCCCCCTCTCTAGGTAAATGGTGTATATTCCTTGTGAAAGTAGTGCACCATGTCTGCAGTGTAAGGTCAGCACACTTAGACCTGGCGCGGCCGTGAGATTTGGCTGCGCTGCAAATGACTCTAGTGGCTGGCGTGCGTCATTAAAGGGGACGTATGGTGACACCAGAATTGGGGAAGTTTAATTTCTTGTGTTTATTATTTGCTTGTTTTCTGATGTCAGCTTCCCTTTGTGATTATAGAACCACATCCTGTCATCAGATTTAATAAAACTCAGCAACAAAGACATCTCGGGTGTTATTCCAAGACACCCTGCAGCGGGTCAATTTAGCGGCACCCTCTAGTGTTTTTCAGCACAATAAAAGCATAGAAGTGTTTTCTAGGACGCTGCTTTTATATGTGACCAGAGAGAGACTAAAGATAGACTTTAGAGAGACCAGAGATAAAGGCGAGAGAGACCAGAGACAGACATAGAGTGACCAGAAAGAAAAGAGAGAGAGACCAGAAAAAGTTATTATAAGTTACGTACCCCAGTTTTAAGGGCCATGTTTTAATTTGTCTAAAACATGTTTATAAATATATACGTGTTTTGAATGGTGGTTGTAGTTTAGTCATGATGTAACACTTGGATCGCTGCAGGCGAAAAACACTGGACGAGGATTCACACTGACTGTCTCCCACTGGGCCTGATCAACAAGATCCTGCTCTCTCTGGCTTCTCTGGTCTCTCTCTTTCTGATCTCTCGCTCTTTGGTCTCTCTCTCTCTGGTCTCTCTCTGGTATCCTCTCTGATAGTAAAGTGGCACATTCTTCTTGACAAAAGCATACATTTCTTGTACATCTCTTGGCTGCCTTGTATGAACTGTACATCTGAGATTTCGGTTTAGCGATAAAGAAAAGTGTTGGAGAAAAGAAAGTTTGTGGAATGGGTTTCATTTTAGTCATTATGTAAGTGCTGTGGTCAGAGACAAAAGCTCAGAGGAACCGCTCCAGGACTGAGGAGGAATTATGTAAAAGACCAGGGACCAGACCAGAGACCAGAGAGAGACCAGAAAGTGAGACCAGGAAGAGGTCAGAGAGAGACCAGAGAAAGAGACAAAAGTGAACAGGGAGAGAAACCAAAGAGAGACCAGAGAGAGAGAGACTAGAGAAAAAGACCAGAGAGAGACCGAGGGAGATAAATCAGAGAAAGAGACCAGAGAGAGAACGAGAGACCAGAAAGAGACCATAGAGGGACAAGAGAGAGACCATAGGGACCAGAGAGAGGGACCAGAGAGACACCCAGGAGATACTAGAGAGAGACACCTATTTTAGACCTGCTTATGGACTCACCGGTGCTGGACTTGATGGTCTCCTGGCCCACAGACTGTCCCAGCAGATCGTACTGGTTCAGCCTGGAGCTCTCGCCCTCCACCACCACCGACTCAGAGGCGTTCCGGGTCCATTTGTAGGTCACCTCCGAGATTGTGTAAGCATCTGGAAGAACAAGAGAAGGTCACGGTCTGTGAGGAGAGCGAGGTGAGAAGTTTCTCCTATCCACTAAACTCCTCTAGCTCTGTAACTGTTTGTGTCACACTCGCCATTTTGGGCTTGAATCTGTGGATCACACTCCCTGTGATCCTGGTGATTATATTTTGATATTGTATTCTTAAATCCAGCCCTAATAGCTGACCAATCAGGAATGTTCTGTCCCCGGTTTTGGCTTCAGCAGCAAAAAATGCCGGTCCTGATTTGTTCTTCAGTTGCTAGGTCGTTGCTACCCACACATTTATCTCCAGAGTGAGCCTTCTTGAGGTAGCTCTAATCCTCATGGTGCCTGTCGGTGGTGGGGTAAACCAGAACACCTGGAGGAAGCCCACCCAGACACAGGTAGAACAAGCACACTCCACACAGACACACACAGAGATATTGGACTTACAGCTGCCAAACTTGAGAGGGCAGGAGTGGAAGTCCATGGGGAAGTCCTCCAGATGCATGGGACACTCTGCGTGGACAGTCAGCCTAAAGACACACAACGCAAGGTTAGTCAAGAGAGTCCACTCAGGTCTCTCTCTGATTTCTCTCTCTCTAGTCTCTGGTCTCTGGTCTGGTCTCTCTCTGGTCTCACTGGTCTTTCTCTGGTCTGGTCTCAGGTCTTGTCTTACCTCATGGCATGGTCCCATCGTCCTTCATCCTCAGCGGCTTGTTGTAGTCAAGTTGGGGTCTGGCCTCTGGTCCCTGGTCTGGTATCTGGTCTTACCTCATGGTGTACAGGAGGGTCCCATCGTCCTTGATCCTCAGCAGCTTGTTAGGCATGGTCATGTTGTGGGCCACAGACTTCTTGCCGTTGTGGAAGAATGTGTCTGGAGTCCAGATCTTGGAGGCCATCAGGTTGTTCAGGGGCAGGATGTTCATGGGACCATGAAATGTGAGCCGCTCGTCCTTCCAGCTCTGACGGAAGAACACGTCGATGGTGTACTCCTGCAACACACAACTATTAAAGCCGAGGTGCGTAACTTTAGGCTCATAAATAACAGGTGTTTAAAGCTGAGTACCTAACTTCTGCCTCATAAATACGTCACCACACCACACGGGTGGGGGTAGGTGGGCTCACAGGGAAAGGAGCACAGATCCAAGCGTGATTTCACCTCTATGCAAAAATGGCTATCATTTATATGTTTTGAGTGCTGTAGGTGTATCAACCACATTATTATCACACATGTTCTCAAGATGGACAGTGAAAAATTAAGAAAAGCGAAATATAGCACCTTTAACCCTCATAATAACATAAAGCTGCGGGTATGTAACTTTAGTCTCATAAATAACAAGTTTAAAGCTGGGGTGTGTAACTTTAGTCTCATAAATAACCAGTGTTGGGCACGTGTAATTAGTTATAGTTCTTCTTCTATAAAGTTACTAACTGGGTTACTCCACTATAAAAGTAACTAGTTACCAGTAAAAGTAACTATTGCGTTTCTTCTTCGTTTCTCGCCCCCATAACCCACCCCCTGGCCCTCACCTTCTCAGAGCATGTTTCATAAGCTACCATATATATGCATATGCTAACACAAGACGTGGACAAGTAATATGTTCTGTAATGTTCTGGAACATAATGTGCACTCGACGTGCACATATTTACCTTTAACCTCAGTGAGTTTGAAATAGTGGTAGTTTTGCTGCTACAGTCCTCCTCACTCTCCATCTCTCTCTGGCACTCATTTATGAAACTTGCGCAGAAAAAGGTGCAAATTTTGGGTGAAGAATCCAGATATGCAAGATCCAACAGATCCGCACAGATTCAAGCGTACGCACCTGCGACTGTTTAATAAATGCCGCGCTCAAAACTAGCGTTTCAAAACCGCCTGTTTCACTCTCCGTTTTTATGACAGGTCAGCATGGAAGTCAGCTAAGAAGACTGTTTGGAAGCCTCAAAAATCCTTCGGCGCGCACTTCTGAGTTTCTTCACGCTTGTTTCTTCACGCTTGTTTAAAAATAAATATGTATACGCGTTTTTTCTCTAGTGTCTAGACCCACTGCAGCACTCATCTCTCTTGAACTTTAGAAGTAAATAAATAAATAATAGATGAATGGATGAATGGCAGCTCTCATTTCCACCTCCCCGACCCATCGATGGACTAATAAAGGGGGTTGAAATTAATGAATAGATGAATGAATGACCTCTGAGGCACCTGCTCCGCACTTCCCAAGAAAGCTATACTGTCCGTGAGCCAGTTCCCACATCAGCGTTGCCATCCTATCTCTGCTCTGTGGAGAACAGGGCAGTGGCTGAGACAGTTTTGAGCAAGATCAGGTGCATTTATGGGGCTTTATGCACAAAACTAAGGAAAACCCACATTGCTTTGCCAGAGGTGAATGAGGCAAAACATATGCGTAATTACTAGTGCTGTCCAACGATTAAAATATTTAATCGCGATTAATCGCATGAATTTCATAGTTAACTCGCGATTAATCGCAAATTAGTCACACATTTGTATCTATTCTTTATGTCCCTTGAATTATCATTTTAATACTACTAAAAAGTGAATAGGCGTGCTGTGTGCAATTGCTTTTTTAAATATTTTGTAAATTTGTTCATGTAAATACTCTATGCTGTTTCTCTGTTTACTTTCGGTATATCTATGACTGTATACTGTTTGCTTGTATTGCCTTTTTTATTAACCCCTCCCCCCCATCTCCCACTTCATTTTTATTTTTTTATCGCGCAATAAAAAAAATGACGCCGTTAATATTGATTTGCGTTAACGCGTTAATAACGCGATATTTTGGACAGCACTAGTAATTACGCTGCGCAGGGTCTGCCACAGATTTACGGAGTTAGTGAGTAAGTCACTAACTTTTATTGTATTTGTATAGCGCCTTTCACAGTCCAGGATCACAAAGCACTTCACATTTAAAAAACATACAGATGAAAATAATACACATGCAAGTCAGATTTTAAAACGAAGAGAAGAGGGCCGTAATGCTTGCGTGTTTCCATTAGACTTTTGTCTATTTCAAATGAAAACTCAGTTTATAATTTTGCCAGAGTCGGAATTTGTTTATTGTTGTCCAAATCTTGAATTTCATGCGTGTTTTGGCGTGTTGTGATGAAGGTTGACATGAGCGTACACATTTACGCCACCTCCTGACCTGCCGTATATTTTGTGCATACTGTACGCTCAAGTCCAGATTGATAAATGAGGGCCTCTGTTTGCTGTAAGCACTAAACACCCGCCACTGTGAATGCAGAAACACCCACCTACCCAATTTCTCTGATTGGCTGAAGACGTAATCTTACTATACATCAGCCAATAATTGCTGAGAGGTTATCTCATCCTCCCTTCTCTCCTGACAACACGTGCACGAGTCCTATGAAGTTATAAAAAAAGTTAATTGTGCGACTTGAGTAAAGTGCAGTAACGGGGTGTCAGCAATGATAACGGCGTTATAGTTACAGTCAAAATAATTAGTTAGATTACTCAATACTGAAAAATGTAGCGGCGTTACATTTCAATGCCGTTCCCATACCTGAAAATCACATATATTTAAAGCTGGGGTACGTAATTCTTGCCTCATTCCATCTCATCTCATCTCATCTCGTCTCATAAACAACACATGTTTAAAGGTACACTGTGTAATTTTTAGTGCCATCTAGCGTTGAGATCTTTTGCAGTCCAAGGTACTACGGAAGCATTTTATAGAAAATATGTGTCTTTGGTCGCGTAGAGGCGGCATATAACAAGACCAGCGGCACCTGCTGCACAGAGGCTCTACTGAGTTTTACCATGGATCTATTATAATATATAGTTTTACAAACGCGGTGTGAAGAGAAGAGACGCATGGAGGAATAACGTCTGTGTGGAGCTTGAAACTACGGCGATCAGAGATGCAGGACATATATACAGCCGTGGCAGAACATGGCTAAAAGCTCAGGTTAGCTTTAGCATTAGCCACAGTGCCCTATCTGCATCACGGTAAGAAACAGAACATTCACACACGCTGCTGATTAAGTATTCTGGCGATTGTTTTGTGGGGATTCTGTGTGTTTTATTTGAGGCTTTTTCCCTGAATAAGTTTAGTTGAAACATGTGACATAGTTGGACTGCGCTCGGATCGGATCAGAACATCCTGAGACTGTGTTGCAGATTCTGCCTCGTTCTCATTACTGTTGGTGTGTGAAGAAAGTTACGTATTGTTCATGTGTGAGTCTGTTGTGTACAAACTACACAATGGGCCTCCTGTTGTGTTAACGCTGTTTGTGATGTTGACACTTTGCTGCTATGACACCGGACTTTTGCATAATTATTTTCAGAAAAGATTGTTGTTCGGGTCGTTCTTTTACATAACTCTGGTCCTCCATGGTTCCTTCTTCAAATTTGTGAAGGCACGGTGAAAGCAACGATATCAGTAGCTCATGTGAGACGGAAAAGCCTCGCATTCTTTTTGTCCCTTATCCACCACTGTTTTTCAAGATGGCGCATTGACACCGAGATGAATCCTCTCTCATGGACACTTATAAGTTAAATTCTAAGCCTATGAAAACAATTAAAAAACATGATGGAGGTAAATATTCTTAAAAAGGTCACATTTGTAATTACAGTAGTTAACATGTTTTTTCATATGGAGCAACTGTAAAAATTACACAGGGTGGCTTTAAAGCTGGGGTACATTAAGAGCCCTAGGAGTCACTATTTGACTCTTTGGGCTGAAAACTGATTGGCTGGGTGAGGGTGGTCTCTCTTTCACTTTCCGTCTGAAAAAGCTGATCTTAAGATATGAGAGAGGCCAAAAATGTACTAGTGATAGAAGCAACTGTTTTAGAGCCAAGAGGCATGGGTTTATTTTAGTTGTTGGTCTGAAAGTTGCGTACCTCAGCTTTGAAGTTTTGTACCCCCACTTTAATGAGTACGTCCCATGTTTATTTCCGTCTCCACATTTGAAATGAAAAAAATCAAACGTTTTGAACGTGGAGCAGAAAATAGAGCAGAAAATAGCGGCGTAACCACGGCGACAGATTACAACCCGGATCTGTGGAGGTTTGACACGAGGCGCTAAAATTAGACACGTCGCCATGGAGACGCCTGATATGCATTAAAGAACACGGCCGAAGATTGCAATTATGAAACCTGGAAACCGATTCATCTGAGCCAAAATGTCTGTTCATCCGAGCGAAAATTCCTGTTTGTCCGTGCTAAATAGTCTGTTCATTTGAGCCAAAATGTCTCCTTATTGACAGTGCTTCTCACCATGTCTGTGTCGGACACCGGCCCGAAGCTTGTCACGTAAATATCCGTCTTCACCTCTGTCACACGGTCTGAAAAAACAGAACACATGAGGATTGGAGCTATCTCACACAGCTCTATGAGGAGTAGCGCTAACTCACACAGGCTCCATAAGCATCAGAGCTAACACATCTCCACGAGCAGACCAGAGAGCAGTAGGAAAAGAGACCTGTAGGACCAGAGACCAGGAGGAACAGAGACTGGGAGGACCAGAGATCAGAAGGAGAAGGGAGAGAATAAATATTTTGGCACCCATGAGCACAGGTCTAGATCTGGATGAGCAAACGTGAGTGTGTGTGTGTGTGTGTGTGTGTGTGTGTGTTAATTACTGTACATCTTGTTACAGTAAACACACAGACGGAGGAAGCTGAACAAGTGAAGCTCGAAAAACAGCATTGCAGCCATTGGAGCATCAACCGTGTCCCGAGGGAGGGGGGAGGAGGGAGGAGGGGGGCGACAGCTAGAAAGAAGATCGAGCGACATACTACTGCATGTGAAGAAGCTATGTTACAGACTGCAGTTTGTAAAGTCATTCAAACAACCAAATAGAGAGAAGACCAGAGAGAGATCTCAAAGAGACCACAGAGAGACCAGAGAGTGACCAAATCAGAGAGATCAGAGACCAGAGAGAGAAAGACCAGAGAGAGCGACCAGAGAGAGAGACCAGAGGAAGACAATAGAGAGACCAGAGAGGAAACAGGGAGAGAGACCAGAGAGAGAGATCAGACTCACACATGAACTCACATTAGGAGACGTTTACACAAACTCATGTTTTGTTTTTCTTTGTGTAGTCTTTGCGATTTCATTTAGGTTGCGAATCATGCAGACCTTGTTTGTGTTGTGTGGAGGGTTGTTGGTTCGATTCCCCTCTTCTCTGCTGTCTCAATGCAAACAGGGCCTTATGTTCACTGACCCACTTCCACTCTCTCCCACATTCTCCCCTGTTCCCAAAGCTCAGAGCGTGTGAGGCCAAGCGTGATGCCATCAGCTGGAACATGAGGGGCTCCGAAGACGTGGGGGAGGATACAGGAGGGGAGAGCGGAGCAGGGGAGAGGAGGAGAAATAAAGGAAGAAGAGGAGAAATAAGGAGAGTAAAGAGGAGGATGACCTGAGAGGAGAGAGAGGAGGGGTAGAGGGGAGGAGAGGAGGAGGAATGGGAAAGGACGAGTGGAAGGAAAAGGAGGAGAGAAAACAGGGGAGAGGGAGAGACAGAGGAGAGCAGAGAGAAGAGACGGGAGAAGGAGGAGAGAGAAGGAGAGCATAAGGTGATGAAGGTTCCCAAAGATGTGGGGGAGAAGGAGAAGGAGGAGAGGAAACTCTGGAGCGGTGAACAGCCCTAATGTCCGATCAGACGCTTCAGCGAACACACCTGAGTCTGAGGGACCTCCAAAGACTTCACATTTATTAACACAGACTGTATACAGATGGACAATGTTAACACAGACTGTACATAGATGGACAATTCTAATCTAACATAGACTGTATACAGATGGAAAATGCTATCCTGCAAACACAATGAAGCCCAATGGGGAAGAGTTCATGGGGAAGTTTTTCTCCATCTCTCTCTGGCTCCTATTACTTATTTATTAAAGTAAACTCCTCCAGCTTGGTAACCATTTGTGTCACACGCACCATCTTTTACAAAATGTTTGGGCACCCTTGTTGTTGTGCGATCTGACATGGTCTTTAAAGTCCTGATGCTTCAGACCTGGTTCATGGTTCACGTCACATTATGTAAATTCACACCTTTGACCATAACAGGCATGTGGTGGCTCTCGGAAAAGGACAGAGATTTGCTGTGAGCAATATAGTCATTATAGAAATAAACACTGCATTCTCTCCAACGAAACAGAAACAACAGAAGATCTGCTTCTGAAACATGTGGTGACCTCCTAGCCACAATCAGGTCACGCTGAGCTTCTGTCTCTCTGCTCACTCTTTCTGGTCTCGCTCTGTCTCTCTTTCTGGTCTCTCTCTCTCTCTGTTCTCTCTCTCTGGACTCTCTGGTCTCTATCTCTGGACTCTCTGGTCTCTCTCTGGTCTCTCTCTCTGGACTCTCTGGTCTCTCTCTGGTCTCTCTCTCTGGAATCACTGGTCTCTGTCTCTGGTCACTCCCTGATCTCACTTTCTGCTCTCTCTTGTCTCTCTCTGGTCTCGCTCTGGTCTCTCTGGCCTACTCCCTGGCCTACACACTGCCCCTGTGGTTGTTGAGTGTCAGTGCAGCTGTGACCCTCATAACTAATGTCTCGTCTGTGTTTTTGTATTTGAGTGAAAGCCCAGGAGAAGCCTGCCCTGAGCCTCACTCTGGGATTACGTAAGCTGCTGTTCGTAACGCGTCACTAAACCAAAACTCTACAGAGCTTTTGTATGAAACTGATCTGGAGCTGAGATTCTGCACGCTACGCTCCAGTCAACAGTTACCATAATCCCAATTTTACCAAAAGAAATCCTTTGCACAAATGTGAATACGAGAAAATGATCGTGATCTGAGCCAACAGAGTAATAGCAGTAGCAGCAGCTGTCGTGGTACCAACAGTAGAAGTAGCTGTAGTAGTAGCAGTGGAAGTAGTGGTAGGAGTAGTAGTGGCACTAGTAGGAGTAATAGTAGTAGTAGAAGCAGTCACAGCAGTAGTAGTAGTAGTAGTAGTATGTACAGTATGTATGTAGGTCCTGCAGTACCCGGGTCTTCTCCCCCGGGTCCCTCTTCTCCTTCTGGGTCACATCCCCAGAAGCTCGCACCTGCACAGGAACTCTGGGCTAGCATATAAAAAATAAAAAATAAAAAATAAATGTATGTATTGTGCTATATAAATATACTTTCCATGCCTTGTCTAGTTGTAGTTGCAGAAGTAGTAGTAAAGCAGTAGTAGTAGTAGTGGTATCAGCAGCAGCAGTAGTAGGAGTAGCAGTAGGTGGTACAGTAGTAGCAAAAGTAGTGTGTAAAATATCCTTCACAAAATGGACAAACGCAGACATAACATGAAAGTGATCAGGTCATGGTGACTTCAGTTTTGCCTCTGTTTTTGTGACTATATTAACACCTTTCCATGTGACACAATTTGCAGTATAAATTGCATGCCCTGTTTTCATTCTGCCTGAAGAAATACTGTCAGAAAAACTTTGGACTCTGAAAGAACTGAAACTAGAATACAGGCCCCACGGCAATGTGTGCATCTGAACCCGCCTCAAGTCTGTCGACGAATGACAGACATGGAAAACCATGTTTAAAAGTTCAATAAAAAGAATCTAAGACTTGTTTGAATATCATGTCAAATCCAACAGAAAGTTCATAGTAATATTTTATACGTCAAATTGTATGTGGAAAACCATGTAGAGAAAAGGAAATGGAATTGTTAAGGTTTGTTTGCATTTTATAACGAACACTTGAGAGAAAATCTAAAGTTTCACTTAGGCCTATATTTTGTATAATAATGGAAAGTGTGATGGAAAAAATGTTTTTAATACTCTGTGCCGTTTTCCATTCTACAGATAGCATTAACGTGCTGATATAAAAGATAGGAAATATACTTTGTAGTACTGCAAATAGTACAAGAGGTAGAAGTACCAAAAGTAATGTGATGACTCAATATCCATCCATCCATTTTCTACCCCTTAATCCATTTCTGGGTTGGGGGGTGGCCAGAGATGCCACCCTGTACACATAGCACCAGCCCCTCACTGATCCTCCTGCAGGTGGTGAGTCCACAGGAGGCTCTCAATGACTCAATATTATAAAGATAATACTGTCACGAGGGCAAAATTAAATGAGACCCAAAATGCGAAAACTGAAAAAATAATGGATTTAATAAAAAATATAACAAATCCAAAACCATAAAGACCACAGGGAACAAGAACTGAAACAGACGAGGGAGGACAATGACGGAACAGGGAGTGAAGGAACACACAGGGCTAAATACAAGACTAGTAGTAATCATTATTTATATGCCACCTTTTCACTGCAGATCTGAGTCTCAAAGCGGTCTACAATTGTTAATTTTGGGCATTTGTCCTCTCACTCCACACAGAGATGGGAGCGGGGTCGCCAGTACAGGAGGCGCATGCCAGAACTATTGGACATGTTTTTAGTGGTAGGGGAAACCGGAGTACCCAGAGGAAACCTACGCAGACACACTGAGAACATGCAAACTCCACTCAGAAAGGCCCTGGTCCGACCGGGATTTGAACCTAGGACCTTCTTGCTGAGAGGCGAGAGTGCTATCCACTCAGCCACCGTGCCGCCCGACTAATGAGACACAGGTGATACACATGAGGACAGGGTGGGTAATCAGACAACAGGAAGTACAACTAAAGAAGAAACAGTGATATAACAAACTACAAAATAAAACAGGAAATAAATCTAAACCATGACAAATACAAAGAACTGCTATTACCACTATTAAATGAAATGTCCCCACTGTGGGACGAATAAAGGATCTCTTATCATAAACACGCATTACTCTATCATGGTAAAAAAATACACACATTCTCGAAATATGTATGACGTACAGATTTTATATTGATCATATTTTGTAAAACTGCAAATTATACAAATACCGTATACAATGTTTTTATTAACAACATAAAACAATCTTTTAGCCATGTATGAAAGATGTGCATAAGGTGCCACTTTCAGGAGATAATCATACAAACATCACACAAAAGTCATACCAAATGTGATGTGATATTTGTACATGTTATATGTGCAACTTTGTGTAGTAGTAGTAGTAGTAGTAGTAGTTGTATAAAGTATAAAGCAGAAGGTCGCAGACTCCGGTAGAAGAGCAGCAGAACTAACAATGATATGGACTATTCAGAAAACAAACTAAAAACAAAAGTGGCACTGTACAAGTCCTTGGTGCTGAGCGTCCTGCTGTATGGATCAGAGACATGGGTCATCATTAGGAAAGTAAGCTGAGGCTGGAGGCACAAACCGAAATCCTTTTATACTGAAAAGAATAACTGATATCCACACAAGCGCTCACGTTACATCTGAAGAGCTGAGACTAAATTGCAAATGCTCTAAAATCCTGAGTAATATTGCAAAAAGAAGAATGACATTCTGGCAAAGAATAAGGTGGAAGGATACAAAAAATCATTCTCGACTGGAAACCAAACGTGAAAAAACAAGAAGGCGGACAAAGAAAACAATGGATAAAACAAATCGAAGACGCAAAAGCCCAAAATCTGTCATTAATCGACCTGATAGATCTGACAAAGGAAAACTGGACATTTCTTGAATCACTGTAGGCACATCCCTGAGCCCATTCAAAGGAGTTCAGTGAGTTCTTTTTAGCAGGTGAGGCCACTTTTTAGGAGGCCAAGTCCTGCAGTACCCGGGCCCTCTCCCCCGGGTCGCTCCCCTACTTCTGGACCACACCCCCAGGAGCTCGCACCTGTAAGTCCACCTGCACAGGCAAGTGAGGCGGGATTCTCTGGCAATAAGACCATGAGGCATAGCTTTTTTCTCACTTGATAACTCCGGGCTAGGATAAAAAAAAAAAAAAAAAAAAAAGTAGTAGTAGTAGTGGTAGTACTAGTAGTAGTAGTAGTAGTAGTAGTAGTAGTGGCAGCAGTAGGAGTAGCTGTAGGTGTAGTAGTAGTAGTATTAGTAGTAGTAGTAGCACTAGCAGCAGTAGTAGGAGTAGCTGTAGGTGTAGTAGTAGCAGCAGTAATGCTTGTACTCGTACTGGTACTCGTACCTCCCAGGCCAGGTCGGAGCCGGTTGTCGTACCCGTCCAGCAGTCGGTCTAGGATCCTGGTGAACAGAGTGATGTTCATGTCGGTCATGGCGCTGACCAGCAGCCTGCAGCAGGAGGACAAGGAGAGCATTTACACCACAGAAACCAGGAAGTTAGGATATGAAGAGCTAAGAGGACCAGGACCTCTGCTTCTGAGAGGACCAGGACCCAGAGAGGGGTCTCCTCATGTTCACACCTGTAGTCTACAGACTCCACAACACACAACAGGCACCCAACAGGAGCCTCCTCCATGAGGATGTTCTACTGTGTGTGTGTGTGTATGTTGATACAGTTCTATTGTTTATTGTCACTACTATGATTTGACCTAAATCGGGGTGGGACTTCGGACAGGGACTTCTGACTGGTACGTCAGACTGGTCTAGTGTCTTCCTTCATAAACGCGGCATCAGAACTGAGGCCAGGGTCAGATTTACAAGATTACAATGAGTTCTTTGATATGGAAATAAGGAGAGAGACACAAGCATCTCACTGTGTTTGTGTGTGTATGTGTGCGTGTGAGTGTCTGTTTGTGTTTGTGTGTGTGTGTGTGATTGTGTGTGTTCGTGTGTGTCACTCACTTGTCCATCCACACATGGGACAGTATAAAGCAGTAGATCAGCCTCCACATGTCGGCACCTGAGACAGAGAAAGAGTCAGCTCTAATCCTACAGAGATGAATGAGGCCAGGAAAACTGATGATTTGGACAGAGAGACTAGAGACCAGAGAGACCAGAGACCAGAGACCAGAAAAAACAGAGACCAGAGAGAAGAGAGACCAGAGACCAGAAAAAAAACAGAGACCAGAAAAACCAGAGCAAGGGTGTCAAAAGGTTCAATTCAATTCAATTGCATTTTCTCTGAGGACTTTACAAGCTGTCGACTGAATAAGTTTAGTTGAAACTTGTGGACATAGTTGGAATAGACTCGGAGCGGGTCAGAACCTCCGTAGACCCGTGTTGCAGATTCTGCCTTGTTCTCTTTACTTGGTGAGAAGAAAGCTGCTGTTGGTGTGAAGAACGTTAAGTATTGTGCATGTGTGAGTCTGTTGTGCACAAACTCCTGTAGTTTTGACTCTGCCTTTCTGTTTATGATGTTAAAACGTTTGCTGTTATGACGCCGGCTTCTATATTTTTGCTAAATTCTTTTTCTAAAAGATGAAAATGTTGGGGTACTTCTTTTACATAACGGTGGTCCTCCATGATCCCTTTTCAAACTTGTCAGGGCATGGTGGAAGCAGCAATATCAGTAGCACCTGTGAAACGAAAACGTGATTCTCGCATCCTTTTTGTCCCTCATCAACCAATGTATTTAAAGATGGCCGCATTGACATGGAGAGGACTCCAGCTCTCATGTGCTATTATAAGTCAAATTCTAAGTCTATGACAACAATTCAAATATTCTTTAAAAAAAGAAAAAATAATTACACACCTTTAACTTCTATTTACATGTTAGTTCACATGTTATAACAGATCCAATTATATGGTTGTTTTGCTGAGAAAATAAGCGTTAAAATTAAGTATAACATACCATGGTATTCCATCACAATCAATGCAGCGAGTTAGTTTAATAATAATCATAGAAAATCCTTTCAGGGGCCATTAAAAATGGTCTTGCGGGCCGGAGTTTGACATGCCTGGGCAAGAGGCTTTAGACATGATGAAGGACTCTGGTGCTGGACACTGAGTACAGAGGTGAATGAGGCCATTGGGTAACATGTTAGAAAACTGATGGTTTGGAGCAACTACAGAAGCTAGAGGGACTAGAGACTAGAGAGACTAGAGAGATCAGAGGGACGAGAGAGACCAGAGAGACCAGAGAGACTAGAGAGACCAGAGAGACTAGAGAGACAAGCGACCAGCGAGATCAGACACTAGAGACCAGAGAGACTAGAGAGACCAGAGGGACTAGAGAGACCAGAGAGACCAGAGAGACTAGAGAGACTAGAGAGACCAGAGAGACTAGAGAGACCAGAGGGACTAGAGAGACCAGAGAGACCAGAGAGACTAGAGAGACTAGAGAGACCAGAGAGACTAGAGAGACCAGAGGGACCAGAGAGACCAGAGAGACTAGAGAGACCAGAGAGAGAGACCAGAGAGACTAGCGACCAGCGAGATCAGACACTAGAGACCAGAGAGACAAGAGAGGCCAGAAATACCAGAAATATCAGAGAGACCAGAGGGACTCGAGATCATATAGACCAGAGAGACTAGAGACCAGTAAGACCAGAGACAAGAGACCAGAGCTACTAGAGACTAGAGAGACCAGTGACCAGAGAGACCAGAGATCAGAGAGACCAGAGGGACCAGAAAGACCAGAGTCCAGAAAGACCAGAGAGGCCAGATAGACTAGAGACCAGAGATACCAGACACCAGAGAGAGACCAGAGAAAGCAGTGAGAGACTATAGACCAGAGGAATCAGAGGGACCAGAGACCAGAAGAATCAGAAAGATCAGAATCCAGAGACCAGAGAGAAACTAGAGACCAGAGACACAATAGAGAGATCATAAACCAGAAACCAGAGATGGACCGGAGAGACCAGAGAGAGACCAGAAGGACCAGAAATACCAGAGAGAAACTAGAGATCAGAGACACCAGAGAGAGATCTGAGACCAGAAGGAGACCAGAGAGAGAGACCAGAAATTACCAGAGACCATTGAGAGACCAGTAAGACCGAAGAAAGAGAGCGATTCCAGTGAGAGGTAGAGAGACCACAGAGAGAGACCAGAGAGAAACCAGAGAGGTATTATATTTTGAGAAAGCGCGCGCACGGGGATTCCCCTCCACCATGTTCTAAATAAATAAATGCACCGCGGAGCTGATTAGTATTCAGTGACACGTCTTGACGCCTCCACGAGAAAGAGAAAAGAAAGGGAAAAAAAATTATGTGCGCTCCCAAAATACACAGGCCGTTATCCGCGCGCACGTCGGTTAATGCGTGTAAAATGCATGATGGTGTTCAGACTGACCTCCACACGCGTCAGATTCCGCTGCTGTTGGATGCGAAGGCGAAACAGATCATAGTCCAGCGGAGTCCAGGCGCGCGGTGCGAAGGGAGCGCGGTCCAGACGCGTCCATCGCACTGTCACAGCCGCGGGAGTGAGACGCGAGGAGAGAAGAGCGATGGAGAGGAGACGGTCTGGTGATGGAGGAGGAGGTGCGTGCGTCTGCAAGTGCACAGAGAGAAGTGAGGAGCGAGGAGACAGGAGAGGAGGCGAGCTGGGTCCTAAAGGCGTCGCTTCTACATTTGGGGAACACCTCACTCAGACCCAAGTGAAGCTCCTGCAGTCTACTCATCGATCTATCCAATAAATTAAATATTTAGGCTATAACTGGGGTACGTAACTTGGAGATCACACCAATTGAACTATGTAGTAATATCCATGTCACTAGTTCGTAGCTCTAAAGCAGTTTTCTTTAATCACTACTCCATTCAAATTTGTGATCTCCTTGGTCTTTGGTCTGGTCTTGGTCCTGGCCTATTTATATCACATGAAGGGATTTTTGGCCTCTGTCACATTATCAGCTTTTTCAGACAGAAAAGTGAAAAAAGAGGATCAGCTCTCAGCCCAAATAGTCAAAGTTGAGGTTCGATTTGATTTTTGAACATTTTATTCTAAGACCCTTTTGTTCAAACTACATGTTATTTATGAGAATAAAGTTAGGTGCCCCAGCTTTAAACATATATTATTAATTAGACTAAAGTTAGGTACCCCAGCTTTAACATATAAAGCCATAAACGGCTTGGCTCCTTCTTATCTCCAAGACACGTTAGTGTCACATCAACCAAGTCGAGCGTTGCGCTCACAAAACGCCAGACGTCTGGTGGTTCCTAAGATCTCAAAAATCACTGTCGGTGGCAGAGCATTTAGCTACCAAGCTCCTTTACTGTGGAATCAGCTTCCCATTTATGTTAAGGAAGCAGTATATATTATATATATATATATATATATATGCTGTATTATGTTATATATTATGTTATATATTATACAATATATGTATTATGTTGTGTATTGTGTTATGTTGTATATTATGCTGTATGTTATGTTGTGTATTATATATAATTAATAGTTACTTAATGTAACTTAAGTTCTACGAATAGGTGCGTAGTCCCTTAGGACTTCGCTAGTGGGATATCACTCGTGACCCCCAGGTCACGCGCCAGAGAGATCAAATAATTTGCTCCAATCACCAGCCACCTTCCTCTATAAATGCCCCTGCACAAGGCCGCACCCCCTCTTGAACTCTGCCAAGCCGGGCTGGCCTGATGGGCTCGTAGCTAAGGGACTACGCACCTATTCGTAGAACTTAAGTTACATTAAGTAACTATTAATTCTACGTCATGGTGCTACGTCCCTTAGGACTTCGCTAGTGGGACACAACGCGGAGGCCGTAGGAAAATGTACTCCCAGCAGGCCAGCGAAGGGTGATTGGAGCTCCGCCCGAGTAAGACCCTCACAAGGTGAGAGGACTCAGGGCAGAAGAACAAGCGTGTTACGGGGCCACTCCTACCAAGGATACCCCCACGTAACACAAGCCGTAGGTCATCCGTAGTCACAGGACGCCTCTCCCAAGAGCTCCTGACGTGGACTACCAGACCGACCACACACACAATGTACCGCACCTGTAGGATGCCTCTCCCAAGAGCTCCTGCACCAGGGCGGAAACTAGACCGAAGGCCCCCCCTAAGGGGAGGGACCCAACGGTCTAACTCAATCCGCTGCACTCAGCACGGAATGGGCCACCGACCGGTCCGACACATCCGAAAGATAAGACCGGACGAAAGAGGAGGACGACGCCCAAGAAGCCGCACGGCAACGTCCTCGACCGACGCCCCCCTGAGAAGGGCCGTAGAGGCCGCCATCCCACGCGTGGAATGCGACCTGAAACCCACCGGGGGGGCCAGGCCCTGCGTCTGATACGCCCGTCGCACCGCCGTGGCGACCCAATGCGCCAGCCGCTGAGCCGACAGCGGGGCGCCCCTGTTCTTGGGGCCCAGACACACAAACAGCTGATCACCCGACCTGAATGACGACGTCATGGCCAGGTAATGCCTCAGCATTCTGATAGGACACAGAAGGTGCTGCCGCTCCTCCTCGGGGGAGGCATGTGGCGGCGGGTGGAAAGCCCTAATCCTGATCACTCTCGACCTAAAGGCCGACGTGATGACCTTGGGGAGAAAAGCCGGATTGGGCCACAACTCCACCATGCCGTCGTCCTCTCCAAAGGACAGGCACGACGCATGGACGGAGAGCGCACACAAATCGCCCGCCCTTTTAGCAGACGCCAACGCCAGTAAGAGGGCCGTCTTAAAAGCGATACACTCGGGACTCGCCTCCGCCGCTGGTTCAAATGGCGAACCCGACAGCCCCCTAAGGACCACCCTGAGGTCCCAAACCGGAGGCGTTCTCTGGAGCGGGGGCCTCCTCCTGCGCGCCCCCCGCAGAAAACGTTTAACCAACGGGTGAGAGCGGGCTGTGAACCCCCCGAACCCGTCGTGACCCGAAGTAATGGCTGCCGCAAACACCGCCAAGGTAGCGACAGCCCTCCCCTTGTCGAAAAGCTCCTGTAGGAATCCCAGGACCCCCTCCAGCGGGCAACACCTGGGATCCCAGGAACGGGAATCGCACCAGACACTGAATAGCCTCCACCTCGTGGCGTAGGCCCTCACGGTGGACGGCGCCCTCGCTCCCTGAATAGTCTCCACCACCGCAGGGGGAAGACCCAGATCTACGAGGCTCCGCCTCTCAACCTCCAAACCCAGAGCCTGCGGCCGATTATCGGACGTGAAAACAGGGCTCCTGCCCCCTGGACTAGAGCCCCCGGCTCGTCCGGGAGGGCCCAGGGCTCCATCACCGCCATGCCCCTCAGGAAGGGGAACCACCGGGCATGCGGACTGTCCGGAGCCACCAGAATCACCGATCTCCTCTCCTGTTCGATCCTCCGCAGCAGGACCGGCAGGAGACGCACCGGTGGGAAAGCGTACAACAGGCCGCCTGGCCATGGGTAATGAGCCAGAGCGTCCACGCCTAAAGGCGGCTCGTCCGCGGCCCTTAAGGCGAACCAGGACGGGCACTGTGCGTTCTCTGCACTGGCGAAAAGGTCGACTACTGGACGGCCGAACCTCCGCCAGATCTCCGCAGCTACCCGTGGGGCCAGGCCCCACTCGTCCTGGAGTGGGCCTCCCCTGGACATTCTGTCGGCTCCCACGTTCCGGACCCCCGGGACGTGGCGCGCCCTGAGAGACAGGAGGTGAAGCGCCGCCCACAGCAGCGTCACCGTCGCCATGCGATGGAGAGCGGGGGACCTGGTGCCCCCCTGCCTGTTCAGATAGGAGACCACTGTGGTGTTGTCTGAGCGCACCATCACGTGTCTCCCCTGCAACTGAGGGGCAAAGTGCAGCAGTACTCTGTGCACTGCCTCTATCTCCAGCAGGTTGATGTGACGGGCTGAGTCCGACCAGCAGCCTCCTACAGAACTCTGGCCGAGGACCCCGCCCCATCCTTCGAGCGACGCGTCCGTGAACACCTCGACGTGAGACACAGCGCAGGCCAGAGTCACTCCGTCCCGCAATAGACCCGGAGTGAGCCAGAACCTGATGTCCGATGCCGCCCCTTGGGGAACCCAGATCAGCCTCCCCCCGTCCCGGGAGGGGTGAAGCCTGAGGCGCGAGAACCACCTCTGAAAATTTCTCATGTGGAGCAGGCCTAGCCGCACCACAGCATGAGCCGCTGCCATCATTCCCAGCAGGGACCTGAGGCGCCGAGCGGGGACTCTGGGGCCCGCCAGAACCTCCCGGGCCAGACGGGTAATACTCATCCGTCTGTCCACGGACAATGCAGCACGGAATATCACCGAGTCTAGCTGCAGACCGAGGTAAACCAAGCGTTGGGCTGGCTGCAGCTTGCTCTTCTCCCTGTTCACCACAAAGCCCAGACGCTGTATGTGGGACAGGACCCAGTGCGTGTGGCTCACGGCCACTTCCCTGGATGGGGCCAGTATTAACCAATCGTCTATATAGGTTAATATTCTTACCCCCGCACGTCTGATCGGCTCCAGAGCTGCTTCCACACATTTGGAAAAGGTGCGAGGCGCGAGTGCGTACCCGAAGGGGAGACGGCAGTACTCGTAATTCCTCTCTCCCACTGCGAAGCGCAGAAACCTCCTGTGTTCTGGCACTATGGGCACGTGGAAATATGCGTCTGTCAGGTCTATGGAAGTCATCCAGTCTCCTTCCCTGACACACTCGAGGAGCTGCCTTGTGGACAGCATCCGAAACTGCCGCTTGGAAATGCACTCGTTTAACACGCGCAGATCCAGAATGGGACGCACCCCGCCTGATTTCTTTGGCACTAAGAAGTAAGGGGAGTACAGCCCCCTGGTGGCGTCCTGCGGGTCTACCTCCACTGCTGCGCCTCGACTCAGCAGAGAGGAGACCTCCGCTTCTAGTGCCTCTGTCGATCCCCGTACCTGAGAGCGTACTGCCCGTACGCCTCGGAATGGTGGTGGCTTTCGGAAAAATTGCAGAGCGTAACCTCTGCGCAGAGTTTTCTCCAGCCAAATATCTGTCAGTAGGCCCTGCTCCCTCCAGATGGAGTAGAAATCTGTGAGGGGCGGAACGGGAGTTGGAACACGAGACGTCACGGCCCCGCCCCCTCCCGGTGTTCCTAGCAGGGAGGGGGGGTGGCTGAAAGGGCCGGGGGGGCCCCTGCGTCACACCGTGAGCGCCGAAGGCGGTCACGTGTTCTGCAGGCCCGACGTCATAAGTACGGGACTGCTCACCACACGTGACTCGGCTGCTGTGCCCCCCCCTGGCTCTTGCCTCATGGAGGGGGGGGCGAGCCCCTGGAGTGGGAAACCCCGTGTTAGCCTTGTAGCTCTGCTCACCACACGTGACTCGGCTGCTGTGCCCCCCCTCGGCTCTTGCCTCATGGAGGGGGGGACTAGCCCCTGGATTGGGAAACCCCGTGTTAGCCTTGTAGCTCAGAGATGCTAACACGCGTTCGGCTGGAGCACACACATTATCACTTACCAGATCCCTCCGCCTGCCCTCTCTCCGGGAGGGCAAAACATGAACCCGTGAATCGGAGCCCGTGGCCCGCATAGCGCGCTGCACGCCCTTCTCTGGGGGCTGCAGGCCTAGCGGAGCCACGTTATATGCTCGAGAAGTAACACAATCAGAATTCAAATCATTTGACATGTTACATACCCCCAAATGAGACTCAGACAGCGAGTACTGATGAAATGCCGGACGGCCTTTATTGAAAACATTTTTCCCACCCCGACCTCCTCTGCCA